ATACACCCCTTTCAATTGCAGTGCATTATCGGAGCATATCTACACTAATAATTTATAACGTTAAAAATGCATTATTAAAATGTGACTCCAGGGGGTGCTGCAGAGCAGCGAGCCACTGGCAATGGAAAAACTGCCATTAAGTGTTCCAAACGCTATTAAATACAACATTCTATAAGATCAATGTAGATCCAGCCTTGCTCTTCTCTGCTTTGTGCAGAATCATGTGATGCAAGATCACCTCCAGACTGTCACTGTTTTGTGGGATGGATTCAATCACATACAGGCAATCGTAAATTTGTGCAAGTATAGAAATTTCGTAAAATCATTAAAATAAACCTTAGTACTGTGAGAAACTAGTCTACCAACAATTTGTGGGTTCCAAGATCAGAGCGGGGATTGGCATGTTTCTTCAAGCAGGCTGTGGCACGCTGATGAAGCACCTATATTTAGAGTACAATGAGTGTTTCAAACCAGTAGTGGCTATTGAGCCCAGTTTGCCTGTGTTTTCCAAAAGGCTTTGGTTTCAGGTCAGTGGGGGTCAGGATGGTCTGAAAACAACCTTGGCTGCCCATGGGAGATCAACATAATGATACAACCATCAGAATGTATTAAGAAGAAGATCTGTATGCTTCTGGACAGTTCTTTGCCTGGACAGAGAGTGGAATGCCTCCACTCTCATTAAAATAATTAGACTCTTCAGTAGTGGAATTAATCCGTCATATGCTTCCTAGGATAAAAGGAAGTTGAGTAAATTAGAAGAAGTAAAAAACACTTTTTTGCTGTGCTAGGAAATCCACTGTGGTAAAAGAGTAAACAAGGACTTTCAGATCACTGTGGGCAGTTAGGCTATTTCTGGATCGGGGCTTCATAAACAAGGCTGGAATCAGTTCTTGCTAACCGTTGAACCTTGTAAACCAGATTTTTCCAGACTTCTGAGTTGATTGGCCCCTTGATGAGCTTTTAAAATTGTCATGGAGCCCAACCCCAATTCTTAGAAATGCAAATGAAATAAAGTCAAGCGATATCAATACATAATCAACATTTATTAATCATCCATCACCATTACTTGGTTGGCATCTGTCTGTCTCGGGAGACAATGGAAGAGTACACTTACGGGAGTGAAGTCAAACCACTGGAAGGTTACAGCGCCTGCTGTGGCTGAATACGAGAGAGACATGTTTTGTTGCAGCGGAGCAGATAAAGGCATCCTAGGAATCATAAAATGTAAAAAAATAAGGAATACTATTATTGTATTATGGAATCTTCTTATACAGAGGTTCCCCACTGACAAGGGAGGTGCACTCTGTATATGCCTATGCCATTTATTTATGAGACTTACAGTTCCTAATTAAATGTTTCGCACTATATCCTCTATATACAAACTTCTTTTCTGCCCCTAGGCTCATTTAAACCTTGTTTCAACTCCTAGGTCTTTATTCACCCCTTGCAGTCTTATTGACCCGAAGGGGTCAGTATCGATCACTATGGGAAAACCTGCTCTAAAGAAATGTGCTCTTCTTTCTTAAGTATACAGAGTAAATCAGGAGTGAGGAACCTTTCCAAATGCTGCTGTATTAAAACTCCCATCACCCACAGCCAACGTTCCTGGCAACCCCATTTACCTGTTTTATGTTTAAAATGGCAAAAAGGGGCTATCAAAATATATTGGGATGAATGAAATCAAGTTGTACGCACTTGAGAGGTAGTTCAAAAGGAAATGCATACCAAAGCACTTTCTAAGAGCAGAGCTTGAGCCACAGAAAAATATTCCAGGCACTCATTTTGCTGAAGTACACATTTCATCAAAACTACAAAACCAAGTTAAAGAGTGTTCCTGTTTCGCATAAGTTGTTCGGTGCCAAAGGACCTTGACCTAGAACAGGGAGGCTCACCCCGTGGTTGGAAAAGAAGATGTAAGTGAGTACATGAATCCAAGCACACTGAAAAGACAAACTGTTTTAGCCAAGGAGATACAAATTATTTCCTAGCCCGGAGATATGTTTGCTCCTGTAAACAGTTTTGCAATCATTTGGCATCCTTCCTAGGTTGAAAAGCTGATAGAAAAAAACAACTTTTGAATATACTTAGATTGAATATATTCAGAGGAACCCTATTTTCCAGACTATCTGCTGCATAATGAATATTTGGTGGGTGTGGGGGATATATGTTAATAAATAGTAATGAAGGAGATTTCCCATCCCGCAGTTTGGTAACTGAAAGACTTACATCTTAGGGATCCTTTTCACAGTATGGGAGAAACATAAGAGTAGATCTGCTGGATCAGATAAAGGCCTGTCTAGCTCAGCATTCTGTTTCCCAAAGCAGCCAAACACAAAATGCCTTTGGGAACCCTATGAACAAGACATGAGCACAATAGTCCTCTATGGTTATTGTTCTCAAGAAATTGGTTCGAAAGCACGCCAGTGCAAGTAGATAAATAGGTACCGCTCCGGCGGAAAGGTAAACGGCGCTTCCGTGCGCTGCTCTGGTGTCGGTGTTCCGTTGCGCCAGAAACGGCTTAGTCATGCTGGCCACATGACCCGGAAAAACTGTCTGCAAACAAACGCCAACTCCCTCGGCCTGTAAAGCGAGATGAGCGCTGCAACCCCAGTCATCTGCGACTGGACTTAAATTGTCAGGGGTCCTTTACCTTTTTTTAATACCCATTGTTTACTCTTATCCCTTATGAATTTATCTAACAATCCCCTTTCAAAGCTTTCTAACTGTTGTTGTTGTTGTTTAGTCGTTTAGTCGTGTCCAACTCTTTGTGACCCCATGGACCAGAGAACGCCAGGCACTCCTGTCTTCCACTGCCTCCCGCAGTTTGGTCTGACTCATGTTTGTAGCTTCGAGAACACTGTCCAACCATCTCGTCCTCTGTTGTCCCCTTCTCCTTGTGCCCTCCATCTTTCCCAACATCAGGGTCTTTTCCAGGGAGTCTTCTCTTCTCATGAGGTGGCCAAAGTATTGGAGCCTCAGCTTCACGATCTGTCCTTCCAGTGAACACTCAGGGCTGATTTCCTTAAGAATGGATAGGTTTGATCTACTTGCAGTCCATGGGACTCTCAAGAGTCTCCTCCAGCACCATAATTCAAAAGCATCAATTCTTTGGCGATCAGCCTTCTTTATGGTCCAGCTCTCACTTCCATACATCACTACTGGGAAAACCATAGCTTTAACTATGGTATATGGACCTTTGTTGGCAAGGTGATGTCTCTGCTTTTTAAGATGCTGTCTAGATTTGTCATTGCTTTTCTCCCAAGAAGAAGGCGTCTTTTAATTTCGTGGCTGCTGTCACCATCTGCAGTGATCATGGAGCCCAAGAAAGTAAAATCTCTCACTGCCTCCATTTCTTCCCCTTCTATTTGCCAGGAGGTGATGGGCCCAGTGGCCATGATCTTCGTTTTTTTGATGTTGAGCTTCAGACCACATTTTGCGCTCTCCTCTTTCACTCTTTAATTCCTCCTCACTTTCTGCCATGAAGGTTGTGTCATCAACTGTCCACAATATACACCAGTAATGTGGAAACATCTAACTCTGTGCTTCCTTCATAAGGCACAGGAACAGAGGAAGCTGTGTTATATATAAGTTAAATCATTGGTTCACCTAGCTCAGTACTGTCCACACTTAACTCACAGCGTCTCTACCAGGTTCAGTAAGGTTTCACTCCTTGCTCTACCTGGAGATGCCGGGGATTGAAAAGCAGGTGTTCTGCCACTATGCTGTGGCTTGTTCCCAAAATGTGACAGTAAGGATGGTTGGCACATGCAGGAAGGTGCATAAGGATTAATCTCCCTTCCCACAAACCCCAACTTTCATTACTAGCCAGGTGAGGGAGGGTCACAGAGCAACTTCCTTTCTGATACTAATTGACCCATACTTAGGGGCCATTATGGCCCTTAACTGGCTAATTCAACAATGGGCTCCACCATTAGATTTTAACTCTTGCCGGATCCAGGAATTAGAAGGGACTCACACATCATACAGTGTATCCCACCCCCCTCAAAAAACTATGCTTGGAACAGGTTACTTAGAACATGGTTATATATCCAATACTTTCTGAGGATTGCACTATCAGGGCAAAAGTAAAACATGAAGAAGTAATCTTCAGACATGTTGAGAGGTTATTGACATTTTAAGAAAAGCGAAAAGTTACAAAGACATTGAACATGCTTATAAAGACGTTCTGTGACTTTATTATGTAACGCTTTGCATAAAATAGCCCTAAACGGCCTCAGCCCAGTATACCTGAAGGGGTGTCTCCACCCCCATCGTTCAGCCTGGACACTGAGGTCCAGCACCGAGGGCCTTCTTGCGGTTCCCTCACTGCGAGAAGTGAGGTTACAGGGAACCAGGCAGAGGGCCTTCTTAGTGGTGGCACCCGCCCTGTGGAACACCCATCAGATGTCAAGGAAATAAGCAACTATCTGACTTTTAGAAGACATCTGAAAGCAGCCTTGTTTAGGGGAGTTTTTCATGTTTGATGTTTTATTCTGTTTAATATTCTGTTGGGAGCTGCCCAGAGTGGTTGGGAAACCCAGTCAGGTGGGCAGGGAATAAATTATTATTATTATTATTATTATTATTATTATTATTATTATTATTACTGGAAAGAAAACCTTTTGAGATTAGGAACTAGCAATATTCACCATAAAAACATTGGAGCTTGATTAAAAGGAGATATTGAGCACATGCTTGGTTGTGTACTTTTTGAAGTGTTTTGTTTATTGTTTTATGGCTTTTGTCGTTTGTGATTATGTAAATCTTTTCATACTGCAAGCCATCTTGAGCATGGTTTTAACTACGGAAAGGCGGCACACCAAATAAAATTGTGGCAAAGACATGTTTGGCAAACAGGACACGTCTCTTTGTCGAATTTTCTGTTGAAGAGAGAACGTTTTATAATAAATGTGATTTCTTCTTCCAATAACTCTCCCAGTATGTCCAGGTGTTGTTTTGCATCCATTAGAATTAGATAATACGTATTCATAAATAGCAAAATGATGCCAAATATTAAGCAGAGTGCTTTTACTAACAGAAAGCAAGCAAGCAAGTTGCCACCTGCAACAGAGGCAGCAGCAGAAACAGCAGCGCGGCGCCTACTACGACTACCGGCATGCATCTCGCGGCACAGCGAATGGGACTCGGGCAGCCGCTCAAAGCGGGCACCTCAAAACTCCCATCATGCACTTGGGCCCGCCAATTTCCCTAGAGCGCCCCGGCAGGTAAAGGAGGTCAACGAGCTCGCCATTTCCGGCGCGCGGTGCAGGACGGGAATGCGAGTAGCGCTATTGGCCGGCGCTTGCCCCGCTTTTCGGCAAGCAGGAAGCGATAGCGGCGGCTGAGGAGGCTCGGCGGGGCGGGAGGCTCCTCCGGGTGAGTGTTTCTCGGACCCTTCCGATTTTCTCGAGGTCGGCGCTCGCCTCTGGCCGAGGCTGGCGTCGAGAAGGGATCGATTTAATGCGCGATTTGATGACGTAATAACGGCTCTGGAGACAGGGCCGCCGCCGGGGTTGCGCCGGTCTGTGCGCCGGCTGCCTTATGGCGTCTTTCCGCCCGCGCCGGCCAGTGCGGGGACCTCCCGCTCCGTTCTCTTTTTTTCCCTTCAGGGAGGCCCTTTCGCTTCTCGTCGCCCCTCGACGGTTAGGCCTTCCGCTTAGCCCGCTTTAGCAGCTCATTGGCCCGCTTCTCTACCTTCCAGTGCTGCGATTGGCTGGCCAGCCGATGATTGACGTGCGTGCCCCCAGTGGACTCCAGTGCCGTGTGGCTCTCCTAAGGAGAGATGCTTCTGAGCCTATTTGAGGGGCACGTTCTGCTCCTGGGGTCTCCTGGCTTCTGAGCTAGGAAAGCAGCAGGGCTCTCATTGCAGCTAAGAGGTGTTATGGTTTCTTGCCGGAAATAAGTGCTGCCTTTTCATTTAAGAAACTCAAGGTAGCTGACAGCAGCATCAAACCATAATTTAGTAGTGGTTAAGATTCAAAAGAAGCTTTTTTTTAAAAAAAAATGAACCTGGCCCTTGTCAAAAAGCAGTTTTGTCTTCAAGACAGGACTGAGAGCAGAGAATAGAAGCTCTTCCAAAGCCTTCCCATCGACCCCCTGAATGGAGCTTGCAGAGTACAGTTTGAGAAACTTTGCATTAGAGTCCAGTGGATGTAGCATGTGATACTTATTTGACAGAGAGAGAGAAATAAACCAGTGGCACGTGGTTGCAAACCTCAGCACACACATGACTACAGAGATAATCCATGGTAAACAGCTGTGAAGTGCAGCACAGCCGTGACATTTCGATGCAAAATCAAATATAGGCAATGATGCCTGAGACAGTTGGGTGCCCTGGGTGATGAAATACAGGGGATCTGTATTCTGATTTTTTTAAACACAGCAATCCTAAGAGGGCAGAAGACACATCCAAAGTCCTGCCCTGTACTGTGGTCCCCTCTCCTAACTATTAGTTTTCATTTTCTGTTCCGTTGGTTCCTGGAGTTGGTGTACTTCTGTTTCCCCCGTTTACTAGCAGGGGGTGGTCCAATGAAGGAGACTGCACCAAATTCCCCCAACATGCCCTTATATGCCCCATACCTCCTTTGAGCTCAAAATCTCTTGAGCACCAACAGCACTGGAATACTATTTTTACCTCAGAATCTGCAAATTGATGTTTGTTATCCTGGCTATTACAAATTTGAAATAATTATTTCTCATTTGGATGATCCCAGGACCTAGTCTGAAGGAAGGTAATACAGTAACCTTGCTGAAGCAATAGACCTGGGTTGAGTCCATGCCTAGATGGCACAGAACCTAGTATACATACGGCACTTTGAATTCCATGATGGAGGAACAGGGGGATATAAACAATGAACATTCCTAAATACTTCCTAGCTGTATGGAATTGAGCCAGAAAAGTGGCAATTGTACCACCATGTATGTGGGTGTATAGTTTATCTATATGTATGTACATACTGTGTATGTACTGTGTGTGCTTGTAGAGAATCTAATCCCATTTTAGTTTTAACTTCCAGCAATCCATCGTTTTAGTGGATTACGTACAGCTTGCAATCCTAAAACCTGTTGCACTACTCTCTGGGCTCCTGTGGCCACACAAGCCCCAAATGCATAATTTCTTTTCTTTCTATGCCTCTGCTCTCTTGTCTGTAGCATTGGAAATATAAATGCATGTTGCCCATGATTCTGATGAATGAAACAGTTATAGGAGGTAATGAAAACCTAGCCTGTTCAGTTTTTTTTAAAGAAAACCTTAAAAGTTAAGAAATGCAGGTGCTTCAGGTTCCTATGGCTGGATACCAAAATCTCCCTCCATACAACAGTGCTTTTCTATCCAATAATCCACAGCTTTTCTTACTGCCATCACTTCCTTTCCCCTCTATTGCCAGCGTTTCTCTTGATTATTCCCTATCCAGATTGCTGCCCTTGGCTTTCCTGGCCATGCTGCTGTTGGCTTCCTTGGTTCTATTGTGACTGGGGTTCTTCATCTCCCCTTGTACCATGGGTTTCATAATGTCGTTCAGCTATCTATGCACTGTGTAATGAGTCTTGTATTTGCTATTGCTTCTCCAGATGTCTTGTATTTGCAAGATGTCTTGTATTTGCTATAGCTTCTCCAGATGTGGTAGGTGTAATACTGTGTGCTTCTAACTTTACTCATCATTTTATAGGACCTGCTTCTGAGTCTGGATACCTATTGCTGATGAATATCCTTGCTTACTGTAACCATTTATGGCTATGGACTGTGGAGTTCTCATTACGACTGATGATCTTTCCTAGACAAATCTATTAGCCATGGAAGCTGAAGAGACGATGGAATGCATTCAGGAATTTCCAGAACATTACAAAGTAATGTTGGACAGATTGAATGAACAGCGGGAGCAGGATCAATTCACAGACATCACTTTGATTGTGGATGGTATGTCGTGATGCAAACTGGGTCTCTCACAAACATAGCGTCCGTCCATAATTTGAATTAAGGCAAGGCATCTGGACTTAAGCCAGTTCAGTTTCATTGAAGCTGAGTGACGGTCAACTGAAATTCGGATACCATGGCTTGTTTAGTTTACAGCTTTAGCAACTTACATATACACCTGCCTAGGTTGCAGTCCCATTCAACTCGGGACTTAAAATTCCCAATTGACTGGCATAAGATCAGGCTGCACAAAAATTGTAGAAGGCAAAACATTTTTCTGCTTGTTTTATTATATGTATTACCACCACCTTTCACAATTTAAAATGATTTTTCTGATAATTGAATCTATTTTGCAGCAAACTGAAATGCTGAAGTCTTCCCTAAATCATTTGATAAAATAGATTTGTGCACTGTATTAGTTTGTGAAGAAACCTGATGCTGCATTCTCTTCCCTCCCACCCATCCAAAGTCCACATCCAGTGGCGTAGCTAGCTGCTCGGGCACCCGGGGCGGCACAAAAGCCCTGCACACGGGGGTGGGGCAGAGCATGCTGCGCAGAACCTCCATGGAGTCCGCAAGCCCCACATTGCTGTTTCGGGCAGCGTGGAACCTGCAGCTGCCTGAGCCACCACGTCACTCCCCAAGAGAGACATGTGGCTCAGGCTCACTGCAGGCCAGGCTCCACAGTCACCCCCCTCAGTGATGATACCCAGAGCAGCCCGCACCCAGTGCACCCCCCTTCCTAAGCCACCGTCCACATCCCATCCTGATGTGCTTTTTCATAACATTCACTACAGTCATACCTCGGATTGAAGTAGCTTCGGGTTGAGCATTTTCGGGTTGCGCTCCGCGGCGACCCGGAAGTAATGGGGCACGTTACTTCCAGGTTTCGCTGCTTGCGCATGTGCAGACACTCAAAATGACGTCACGTACGTGTGGAAGCAGCGACGTGCAGATGCAGGTTGCATTTGCTTCAGGATGCAAACGGGGCTCCGGAACGGATCCCGTTCGCATCCAGAGGTACTACTGTATGTGCAATCATCATTTTGCACGGGAGTTACGTTCTGGGGCCCCACGCATTTAGCTGGGCCCACGTAAACTGTTGCACCCTGCCCCCATTCCAAACTTTTAGGGTCACTTCTAGGTTCAGCACTGTGCGCGCCTGCACGATCGCACATCAGTCAGACGTGCATAAAACAGTTGTTGCCTGTATTGTTAAATCACCATGTCCAAATGAGACCTCCACTAAAGAGGTCTAAATACCTAGTGTGTTTAGATCTACTGTTTGACGTGAAATTTGGAGACACATACTCTGTGGGAAGACTTGGCACTGCAGTGTTCTTGGTCGTGTTAATATAGAAGGCTGTATATTAAAATGTTTTTCCTCTCCACTACGACCATCTAACATATATTTATATCCAGTTCTTTCTCTCCTTCTAGGTCACCATTTTAAAGCCCATAAAGCTGTTCTTGCTGCCTGTAGCCAGTTTTTCTACAAATTCTTCCAAGACTTCACTCAGGAACCTCTGGTAGAGATAGAAGGTAACTTGCTGATTCTGTTAGATCCAGAACTCTTGCGTGAAAAGAACTAGCAAAACAAAAACCCTGCTATGTCTCTTTCACTTGTCTTCCCATTCTCATAGGCATACTTTCAGTTTAGGACTAAGAGATATTTTCCTGGGAAGTGTTTCATTCTAGTCATATCCCACCAGTTCTTAGGTCTAGAACATATAACAAAGTGGAATGGGGTTAATACATGTACACATTACATCCAATTATTAAATGCTGAGAGCAGACAGCAGGAAGTGGCCATAAAACATAGCCCGGCTAGTTATTGATGTAGGCAGAATGAATTGAACGGAGTTGAAAATGATCCTTCAATGCTTTTAATGCTGTGAACCACCCTGAGATCTTTGGATGAAGGGCAGTAAACAAATATAATAATAATAATAATAATAATAATAATAATAATAATAATAATGAGGCAGTTGTTTAGGTATTTACTAGCAAAGCCTCTGTGCAAACTTTTTGTTTCATTTTGTTCTTTGCTATCATTAGGTGTAAGTAACATGGCATTTCGTCACTTAATTGAGTTCACGTACACCGCCAAGCTGATGGTCCAAGGGGAAGAGGAAGCAAGTGATGTCTGGAAAGCAGCGGAGTATCTTCAGATGCTGGAAGCCATTAAAGCACTCGAAATCAGGTGAGTGTGGTTTCTCAGAGGACTGTGCCTTGGGAAGGCATGTTAGAACTATCTTCACCCATCTTCAATGCACTGGCCAGGTTCTCTTCTTGTTGGCTTTCCATGATCATGACTACTGCATCATCCTGTGGTCTTCATGATAAATAACTGGGGCCGCCCTTGGGTCTGTTCTGGAAGCTTCAGCCACTGCAGAATGCTACAGCCAGACTCATGATAGAAACTGCTGCAAACAAATGACGCTGCTGTTAAAAGACCTGGTTCAAGATTCTTTTACTAGTGTACAAAATGCTGAACAACTTAGGCCCAGGATGCTTTAAGTACCACTTTACCCCCTATGTCCTAGGGCACAGAATCATGCTCTCCTTCCCTTTAGGAGCATAAATGCCTGCCACTAGGTCTAACTTACATCTTCAGCAACAGTGAACTGTATTTGGAATAGCCAGTTTTCTCATTTAAAGCTGGCTACGGATTCTGAGTTAAAATGAGAAGCCTGGTTAGCCTTAAGTGCAACAGAACTGCCCTTTTGATGTTATGCACTGTGTTGTGTATAATTTTTCTAGGAACAAAGAAAATTCATTGCCGCCCGAATCGGATCAGGCAGAAGATAAGAGTATAGCCAAAAAGAGGAAGATAGCAGAGACCTCCAATGTTATTACTGAAACACTGCCCTGCGCAGAATCTGAGCCTGTTGAAATTGAGGTGGAGATTACAGAAGGGGCTATCGACATGGAAGAAAATAACGTTGAAGCACTTGAGGAGGTCGCTTCTGCTGAACAGTCGATAAAGTACATACAAACCACGGGTACATCAGATGAGTCTGCTTTGGCTCTCCTGGCAGATATTACCAGCAAGTTCCGCCATGGGGAGAGGAAAAGTGAAATTCAGGAAGAGTGTGACGACGGATCTGATCCAACGGGCAAGCAGGTGGAAGGCATTGAGATAATGGAACTTCAGTTGTCGCACGTCAACAACCTTTTCCACTGTGAAAAGTGCAACCGTACATTTAAGTTGTTTTACCACTTTAAGGAGCACATGAAAACGCACTCCACAGAAACTTACAAGTGTGACCTATGCAACAAAAGGTACCTGCGTGAGAGTGCATTGAAGCAGCACCTTACCTGTTACCACCTTGATGAAGGTGGTGCTAACAAGAAGCAGAGACCTGGCAAAAAAATACACGTCTGTCAGTACTGCGATAAGCAATTTGACCACTTTGGACATTTCAAAGAGCACCTTCGGAAGCACACAGGTAACTGCAGTTCCCTTCCCCTTCCAGTTGCAGACAATTCACACCACTTCCTGTGGTTCTCGCCTCCCCACAATGATTCTCACTGTAACATTTTGTACAGCCTTCATTGGTAGTGGAATAAGAATGGTGTAAATGTTGATTAAAGCCTTTATAAATGGAAGGTAATCTAGGAACCATTTAAGGCTGGCTTGCATAACTTGCCACCCACCCAAATGCCAGTTGATTCTATTATTATTATTATTATTATTATTATTTAAAGCTCTTTGTAGAGGAAACCCTGTCTCTGTTCCAAGACCTCTGGCAAGCACAGAGAACTTTAGGCTGAGGTTTGCCTTGCTTGCACAGAGATCTGGATAAGGATAAAAATAGCCTTTTTTTACTCAAACTGCTGGATGTATCAGGGACTGCTCCGAGGCCTTAGAGGACACTATTAGTTGCTTAGGTGTGCTTTTTGATCCTGGGATTTTAGAATGTTTCTCCCAATTAAAAAGCAGCAAGATAGCATCCTAAGTTTTGTTGTGTGCCTGTGGTTGTTAGAGGATGGGAATCAATCATCTCTTGCATATTGCTGCTTCATCAAACTGACACTGTCTCTTGGAAAGGCCTCCCTGTCCCACAACCAATTTCAGTAGGTACAGTACACATTGGCAAATACAAAGTGAAAATGGTGGAAGGGAAATGTGCTTTTTTGTGTCTTCAGTGTTGGATCAGAAGTACTGGGGATGTGGCTTTTTCAACCCATTGTCAAATTTATTTGTTTATTGGTCAGTCGTACAGTTTTGCAGAATAATGTTCTACTTTGATAGAAAATATACTGCATAATGACACCAGACTTGGTCTCTATGGATTTGAGAACACATAATGGACATTGATCTGAAAAACTCTGGCCCTGTCAAATTTGAGCCGCCTCCCCCAGGCCTATATCTGGCTTAGTTACTAGTTTGTGTTTAGCCATCCTCAACTTGGTGCCCCCTCCAGAGAGTTTTGGACTACAGCTTCCATTATCCTTGACTAATAGACATGTTGGTTGAGGCTGATGGGAGTTTGTAATCCAAAGCCTCTGGAGGGCTCTAGGTTGGAGAAGGCTGACTCAGTTCTAATTTTTAATTGAAATGCCCCTTTATAGGACTGTGCGTATCCACAAATTCATCACACAAGCATAGTAAAGGTAAAGGGACCCCTGACCATTAGGTCCAGTCGTGACCGACTCTGGGGTTGCTCATCTCTCTTTATTGGCTGAGGGAGCCGGCGTACAGCTTCCGGGTCATGTGGCCAGCATGACTAAGCCGCTTCTGGCGAACCAGAGCAGCGCATGGAAACACCGTTTACCTTCCCGCCGGAGCGTTACCTATTTATCTACTTGCACTTTGACGTGCTTTCAAACAGCTAGGTTGGCAGGAGTCACACAAGCATAGCATTTGTTAAAGAAGGGGAAACTAGTTGGATAGCCTTGGATTGTGCGGAGAAGGGAGAATTTGTTGTGACAGAAGAGATGGAGAAGGATGAACGGGTGGATATTTTGAGTGTACTGAATTGGGAAGAAGAGTTAGGAGGATAATGTGGGTTTTCCTTTGGCTTTAATGCTAGTTAGTGAGTTAGAAGTGCTTTGTGAAGTGCTTCTTAAATGCATTTTACAGATGGAGAATCTCAGTCTGCACTTGAAAAGATTACCTATATAGTGTTAAAGTTGCATGAGCAACCGATCGGAGAGGAACAGGAGTGCAATAAAACCAATTGCCCAGGCCTTGCCAATGCTCCTAGCCCTAGATGTATCGCCACCCAGTTATGCTTTATAACGTGAGCAGAGCTTGCTGACATAAATTAATGTGGTTGTGCCTGTAGAACTCAACCCCCCACCTTTGACAGCAATGCTCTGCACAGCAGGGCTTTCACTGGCATACGAAACACCACCTGTGTTTGTAAAACAGCTCCATCCATGTTGCGTGTTGCTCTTGCATCCCAGTGCGCAGAGCCACAATTGGGAAAAATACGGAAGCTTAGGTGGTAGGCTGTTCAAAACAGTACAGGCAGCCCCCATTTACGTGAGAGTTACATTCCAAGGCACTGTGCACATCAGTGAAATTGTGTGCATTTGAAACACCACTGGAAAAGCCTGCAAACAGCCCATCCTGTTCCGCCCCTTTTTGTGACGCTTTTGGGTCACTTCTGGGTTTGGTGTGATATGCAGGCCCGTGGTCACAAACATATTGAATGTGTGTAAATGGGGGGGTGCCTGTAATTCAATTAGCAGTGTCCTTATTGCTGGGAATGGCTGGATTATGTATTCAAGAAACCTTTTGATTTGCAGATCTTCAGTGCCTGCATAGGTTTCTCTCTATACCACGAAAACATAAACTTTGCTTCCTCCATAAAAATGATAGCTGAGATCAATCTGAAGTTAACAATCTTCTTTACCAACAGTCAGACGTTGTGCAATGCTCTGCTTACTGCGTTAAGGAAAGTATGCTTTGCCCCTAAGAAAGTTACATAAATAGCTTTAACCTATCTGTTATTTTTGTGTATCAAGGTCTACAATGTGCATTGACTGCACTGTGCATTATATTTCATTTGGTGTCTAACCTTAGACTAGGTACTAGTGTGAGTTGTTTCTCCACAGCATTGCTGAATGGTTTAGGAGATAATGCAATAGATGAATGGGAAACCCTTCACAATTTGCAAGATGTAAGTTATAAATCCTTCTCAGTGTCACTTAGAAAGGGAAAGCTTCTATATCCAGGAATGTTGAGCCCTCCAATGGCTCCAGTGGGAGACAAGCATGCTGTGCACACAATAAAAAATTTAAATGATGCATAACTAATCCATGACTATCAGGGCAGAATTGCATGTCATGAAGCAGCACACAGTTATCAAATAGTGATTTCCCTATAAGGTGAATAGTGTGAATGGGCAAATTATGCAGTAGAGAATTGCCAAATGCAGATGTGCACTGAATGAGCCTATTCCTCACGTGTGCCAGTTCTCTGCTGCAGATGCCTCTCTGGTGGGCTCTGAAGCTTGACATAAACCTGACTGTGGGGGGAATGGCCTGGGGTGTGTGTCTGTGTCAGCATTTGCAAGGGAGGATTGGAGACATTCAACACCCCTCTCCCAAACGCCACACTTGTATTACTTTCACAAACAGTATTTGGGGGAACCGCTTGTCAAGGTAGCATCTAGTTCCACCCTCAGGTTATAACCTTACCTGCTTTCCACCCTCAGGTTATATAACCTTACCTGTGAATGAGCCACATTTGGCACGGCGGTGCTTGTTTCCTGTGCCATCTTATTTGCTGTGCTCTTAAGGGTGGGCTATAAAAGGGAATAGATGAATCTATGAGGGGGTAGGTATGTTCTTGGCTAATAGCCGTAGCAGATCATCCATTTTCAGAGATGGACGGATAATCGGGGATGTTGCTCCATTTATGAACACAGCAACCTAGATGGCTAATATCACAAGATAGAAAGATGACCCTGCTTAATAATTTAGTATCACTAATCTAACCCTATTTAGTAGTCCCTAAACTATTTTTGTACTTCTACACCTCTTGGGTAGCTGACGTTCGGGAATGGGAAACTGGCAAAATCCCACCTAATTACGGGGTTGGGGAGGTGAGTTTGTAACAGTGAAAAAGCTGAACCTGAGGCAACCTGATTTTCATTTTTTGGTCATGCCTTGATATTTGCCTTGATAGGTGAAAAACCATTTGAGTGTCCAAACTGCCGCGAACGTTTTGCTCGAAACAGCACACTCAAATGCCACCTGACAGCATGCCAGTCCAGCGCTGGTGCTAAAAAGGGACGGAAGAAACTTTATGAATGTCAGGTATGTAATTTTGCCCATCGTGATTCTGGTCTAGCGAATTTGACCATGTAGACAGCCTGTGTTGTTGACAAGGTGACCGGGGCGGGGTTGTGAGAGCTGATCTCTCGTTTGGCTTTGCTGCAGAACACTTAGGACTGGGTTGTTGCAGCAACATGTGGTGCTAAACTACACAGGACGCTGTAGTAATAGTTAGAAGCCTGGAGCCCTTAAAGTATCAGAAGAGAAGAGAGATGTGTGAAAGCCATTCTCCCTGTCTTCAGAGTTTATCTTAAAGTTGTTTGTGTAAAGCCCGTGCTGATAGCTGAATTGGTTTTAATTGAAATAGCATTGCTTCTTCTCAGTGCTTTAATATAATAGTTTGCTGTTTCTCCAAAATTTAATGCTGGGGTGTGAGTGAAGATCCACTTGGACTAATTGGAATGGGGATGTTTTTGGACCTAGTATCTGCTTGTTTTTATACCATATCTAGAATTTGGTAGATAGTAAGAAATTATTCTTAGCTGCTGTAGCTTTATTAAGTTCTATCTCCCCACAGTATTTTAGGCAATGATGATTTATGGAGTGATGACGTTAGTAACGTCTCTTCAAATTGTGAGATTAAAGTTGGATTCTAATATACAGTCCACCAGAGAATCTTTACAGCTTATTGTATAGTATACTTTCAAATTTGGTATGAAAAATCCCTCTTGTTTTCTCATTGTAGAATTGTATATTTGCTTTAATTCTTGGAGGTTTTTTTTTATTACAACAAATAAATTTCAGTAGAATATCTTGCGATTTTGCTGATTTAGCTGGGCGAGTTTGAAATGGGAAATTGATTTTTGGTAACACTGCTATTTTCAAAGTGGAGATTGTTCCAGAAAAGACGAAGTTTAATTTTCCCCACTGATACTTTGTCTTTAGCACTATGTTCATTTTTGTTGTTGTTGTTAAAGATGGGCACAGAAGCAGTCCCCTCCCCCCTTATTTTATTGCTATTGCAGAAGACTAATCAACGTTATTCTCCTGGCTTTCCCTCACTTGCTTTGCAAGAGATCCTCCTTCCTCTCCTTCTGGCATGTGCTCCAGTGACAGCACCCTTAGGGGATGGCTGTTAGGTTAGGATGTAAGACTTTTGTGTAGCACACCTGCAAGATTCTTGCATAAAGCTTGTCTGGTCATGATTAAAAATATGTTGTTACTCTGCAGTTCACCACTTTACTACTCACTGAGCATGGGGAGCACCCACCGTCCTCCCTGGGTGGGCTCAGACCACAGGCAGATTGCACCACAGAGATGGAATGTTTTTAAGCATTGATCTCTATAGTAAACGCTATATAAACAATTTTCCAAGTTGAGTTTATATTTATTTTCCTTAAAATATTTATATACTAGGTTTTGTTTCAGAGTGATTTGCAACTTTAAAAAGCAAATATTAAAGATACAAGCACAGGGAGCTGGCAATGTATTAAATGCCTTGAATACTGGGAGAAAGGGCTTTGTCTGGTACAGCACCTGAAAGAAACAGTTGGAACCAGGCAAAACCTTCTTGGGGAGGGAATGCCACGGAGGAAGGCCAAAAAACAAACCTTTGAGTGAATGGCTGTCAGACTAAAAGAAGCTGAGTTGCTTAGTGATAGCGCATTTGAAGATGGACAGAAGAACCTATTAAACAGCCTTGCAAAAAGCCCACAAAAGTTACAAGCATGCAATATTTTTGCTAGCCTGCTGGGAGCTATCCCAGAACGGATGAGAGTCCCATCCCTCCTGCAGTAACTTGCTGCATTTCTGTGATGGGCGTGGAAAAGAAGGCTTCCCTTCTAGGACAGCCCACTTGGATTCTATGCTGGCCATAGAGGAGGGATTCAGTTTTTCTCTCCTCTGCTTGTCCATCCAGTCGCCTGCTTCCAGTTCCTTGTTACCTATAGCTGCCAGGCAAGTGCTTCACTGCAAGGTGCATCACTATAACATTTTTTAGAAGAGAGAAGTATAATGATTTTACTAAAGATAAAAATGTTTAAGGTGCTAAATAAGTCTTATTGCAATAGCTTTCCAAAAGACTAGATGCACATGCATGCAGTCATTGGTTGTGTCATTCTATGGAGGTAATCCTGTGTAAAGATCCGCTGTGCAGTTCCGCATAATGCCTTTGGAGGTTCCCTTAACTATTATTTAGTTACTTAGCAGGTTGCTTGTAACTGTGAACTGATTTATAGTTAGCCCAATTGGCTGACGCAGGGAAACGTTAGGTCCTAAGCAGTGGAATTGTTTTGTTGCCACCCGGGGTTTTAAAGAAATAAACTGAATTGAATAGAATGGTCCGAAGACATACAATGAACTTTGGTTAGCATTCCTACAGCTGTTGTGTTTTGTTCTTTCAGGTCTGCAACAGTATATTTAACAGCTGGGATCAATTCAAGGATCACTTGGTAATACACACAGGTGACAAGCCCAACCACTGTACCTTATGTGACGTGTGGTTTATGCAAGGCAGTGAACTGCGGAGGCACCTGCAAGAAATGCATAACATCACAGAACGGCTTGTGACCGAGGACATTCTTCCAGTGGACAGCGACCCAGTGGCTTCCATGACTATCATAGAGCAAGTGGAACAAGTCCATGTCCTTCCCGTAATCCAGGTCCAGGTGGATCCAGCACAAGTGACTGTAGAGCAGGTGCATCCGGATTTGATACAGAATAATCAAGTGAAAGGTGAACAAATAGCGGAGCTACAAGAGCAGGTGGAGATAAGCTACTTGGAAGTGGAGCACATTCAGACTGAGCAGAGTGCTGAAGTGCACATGGAGGAGCTAGACGTGGAGCATGTGAACCAGTTACAAATGGAAGAGGTTCAGGCGCAGCTTATAGAGGAAACTGATATAGAGCAAGTAGAATCGGGACATGTGGATCAAGGAGAGCTGGAAGCAAACCCGCCTGTTCAGGCAGAGGAGGTGGAAGCACACACAGCAGATCATGAAGAATCTGATGATTTAAAAACTCAGCCAATAGTGGATATGCAAGAGGAAAAGGTGGAGACCTAGGAAATGTTGACTGCAGTACCTGTGATTTGGGGGGTGGGGGGTGGGAAATGTAATACCAAACTATTTTTGTTAATTTACTTGTATGACTTTTGCACCACCAATGGATGGCTCTCTTGTATCGATGCTGTTGGGGAAGTGGACAGGTGGACCAAAGTTAGGATATTTGATTAAACTGCCCTTCTTGAGGTTTTTTTTTTGGGGGGGATGGGGGATAATCCCCCTTTCCTAACAAACAAACAAACAAAAAAAACAACAACCCACGGAACAAAGCCTATTCTAGAGATGAACAAGCTTTGTGTGAAGTTTAATAGTAGAGTTTTGCTAGATTGTACCATTTAGGTCATACTGTTGTCATTGGGAGAGACTTCTGGAGCAAGTTCTGTTTTCTTTTCCGAGTATGAGTTTAGTGTTAAAACAGCAAGGTTCCAACATTCAGATGGATTATATAAGGACTGCAGACAATTTATCCCCTTTCCTCCTCTAATATTAATTTTTGCAGTAGCTGCAGTCTTTGCTTTATTTATTTTCTTCAGGTTAGCCACAGATCCAATTCACGCATCACAGCAAATGCAGCAGTCTCTCCTGCTTCACGCTTCCAGCGGGAGCAAAACACCACAATCCCTGGTTAAGTGCTATGTCTGAACTGGTTAACTATGGTTTACTGTGACATGTGAACACACTCCTTGTCTTTAAGCCTGGAAGTGGATTGGTATGGAGGTAGAGTGTGTTACAGGTTTTCTTTTTGTTAAAAAAAAAAAAAGAACCCTTGTGCCTTCTCACAACTAAGGAATTAAACTTCCACAAAGCTTTTAGGACATTTACAAAGCTAATGCAGAAGAGACAGTGTAGATATTGCTGTACAGTGCTTTGTAATTTTGTTTACAATTGTCAGCTACCAGGGTTTTTTGCATTACAATAAACTTAAGATGGGGGGGGGATTAGTTCAACACGGGCAGTTTTGTTTTGATTTAAAGGGCCAATTATAATAGGAAAATTTTGGCTGCATCTGTAGCAAGGAATGAGTTGGCTGAAAGGTTGCACTGGCATCTTATCACCAGATTTTTATTTTTAGAAAAAAAGGTACATTTTATATTTAAAGAAAATGCGTTTTAAAAAAATACAAAGTAAATGTGTCTGCTCAATGCATCAGGCTACTGTTTTATTATTTAAACTTTTTTGAACCTTTACAGAAAGATCTTGTGCTTAAAAGATTGGGGGGGGGGGAATCAAAAGCCATAGGTATGAGTGTTTTAACTGTGGATTTATAAGAGTAGGAGTGTAAATATTTAATCAGTATTATTGGACAATAAAACAGTACCAACCACAAAATTCTCAGTTAATGTAGTATTTGTTCCTTCTTAGGGCCGTTTTGGATGTTATACAAAAAAGTTGGGCTGGTCCAGGAGTGTAAGCTTCCCAGGGAGCTATGGCCAATCCTGTCCTTACAATATGTGCATTCAGCTTGTTGCCAGTGCCATCACTAGACACTTTGCTGCCTGAAATGCCACCCTCCCCTCCCTCATTGGGCCAACACTTTAAAGTCTTGCTGCACCACTGAGACATCAATGCCTGCCTTCATCAGATGGGTCCCTCCTGATGCTGCTGAACTGCAGCTCCCATCAGTGCCAGCCAGCACACGCAGTAGTTGGGTGTGATGGGATTCTGTGGTCCAACAGCATCTAGAGGACCACAGATGGATTGGGCTTCCTTAAGTGAGGGTTTTGACCTCCTTGGAGGTGTTTTACTGCACTTTTATCCTGTTTTCCCTCTAAGCAGCTCAAGCAAGCATCCATGTTTTTGCCCTCGCGGGCAAGTTAAGGTGACAGATGTTAATTGGTATAAGGTTACACAATGGGTCTCCTGACCTGAGTGGGGAATTGAACCCGGATCTCCTAATTCCTAGTCATGACACACTAACCACTACACTACACCCATGTCTCTTGGGAAGCCTAGGCCTGTGGATCACCTTTACCAGGAGAGGCTCAAACAGGGATTGTGTTGAAAATGTGAGCCATTGCCTAGCGAGCAGAATGCTCAGGAAAAGCAATGCAAATAAATTAAGGGCATCATAGAGATTGTGGGTTAGAGTGGCTGCATTCAAATGGAAAGGGGAAAAGAAGACTCCAGTTCTTGACTTTCTTCTGTGGCCAGCGTCAAGACACTCCCATGCTGGAGTTCAGAGTGATTGGAGATGTGCTTGTGCTTTCTCCACAAACTGCTTGCACCATCTTCTAAAGCTTTTATCTCCTACACTGAGCCATGGGTGATGTAAAAGTGCACCCCACCCCACCTGAGGGTGCTTATAAGGAAGGCACTTTTCACATACAAATTGTAAATTGAAGTATATGCTGCTGGGAGTTTCAATGTAATAATAATAATAATAATAATAATAAATTTTATTTATACCCTGCCCTCCCCTGCCAGAGCCAGGCTCAGGGTGGCTAACACCAGTAAAATTACAGCAAAAACATAATGGGGGGGGGGGACCAATTTAAAATACAGGTTAAAATGCAATTTTAAATGCAGCCTCATTTTAAAAGTAGCCCATAGATCAAAACCCTAAGGGAAAGGAAACATAAGGGTCAGACTGAGTTCAAACCAAAGGCCAGGCGGAACAGCTCTGTCTTGCAGGCCCTGCGGAAGGATATCAAGTCCCGCAGGATCCTAGTCTCTTGTGACAGAGCGTTCCACCATGTAAGGCTTCTGTTCTAAGTATTCCTGGTTGGAACTTAACTCTTCTCACACTCCATAGGACTGACTTCAGAGAAGGTAAGTTAAGGATGGGGCTGTTACTGCGAAATACATTTTAATAAGTCTTAAAAATGGTCTTAATGGTCTTCCCAGTACCTTTTTTCCACTGATGTCATCACTGCAGTGATGGCTGTATGTCTAGAACCAAATACTCAAAGCTGGAGGTAGGTAAGTGGAAATCTGCTCTGGAAAAAGATGGGAGGATAACGCAGAAGAATGGAGCAGGGAGGCAATGATATCTGAATTCTCTATTTTTAAAGTATGTGAACTTGGGGGAGTTCCAATGACTTGGTAGCATCGCAAACTGTATAACGAAGTGTACAAAATTAATGACAGGCTGTATCAAGCGCTGGATCTACAGTATAAGGAAAGGTGGTGTTTACGCTTAAGTAGGCTAGAGGGCAGTACCGCGTGTTTTCAAGGAGGATCAGGAGCGACCTGTAAGCAAAGAAGTAGCTGCCTGTTGTACAAATCCAACATACTACCATTTTGGCTAGCTTTTTTTGTGGGGGGGAGGGGTTGCTTTGCAGTACATCTTGGCTGCTGATTCCTCCCTGTTTACACATATTGGTTCATGGACAACAGTTTTCTTCCACACCTGGGAAGAAATGATATGCCATTGTGTGTGATAATGTACTGGCAGCCACTGCTCAGTGCTCTCATTGGGAAGAAGAGTACAAGCTAGAAGCACAAGGAAACGATGTACAAAATGTTGTTGGCGTTTTTCTTTCAGTGACTGGGTTTACTTGCCATGATGTGAATTGCATTCTTTTGCCCCCTGCTGTTTCCTGCATTCAAATATGTTTAGAAACAATGTGTGCTTAGCAAGGGGTAGAAGCCGGAATGACAACACATATCATGAGTGGTGATCCCTCTTTCAAGCCACCCTCAGTTTTTAAAACTTCGTCTCCATCCGATTTGTGCAAGGAACTTTGTACTACCTGGTAGCTTAGTATCGCATCTGTACAGCAATTCTTTCTTAGGAAAGAATATCGTGTGTGGAGCTGTCCATGGTTTCTAGGAACAGTGATTCCTTGAATAGTAAGCAGAGTAGACACTTCAGCATCCACAGTGGGCTTGAACCTACCCAGGGACTGTATATTTTAAGGCAGTGACATCTCTGCCTAAATATATATGTATTGTATTGCCCCACCTTGAGCGGGGGTGGGTGGGGCGGTGAGGGCATTGCTGCTCCCAGTTTTCCAGCTTGCCTCTTCTCTCCCTTCACCCAGCTTAACAATACTAGTTGTTTGTTGTTGTTGTTGTTGTTAATAGATTTCGTGTACTTCTAATTGCTTTTTTAAATGAATGGTTCTCCCCACCCCCAATGTGGCATTTCTTGTTTTTATATGTGAGCTGCCTCCAGCCCCTTCAGAGGTGAACAGGCGTGGTAATTAAACCAAAGTATTATTATTAATAGCAATAATATCAATAACGAGGCAGGCAGAAACCCAACAGGTGAATCCTTTTCGCAGCCACGCCATTGCGCACGCGCTGCTATAGAAACCAGCCCAAGGCGCGCGGCCGGCCACGCCCTCCCTGCGAGCCGATTGGTTCTCCCGTCGGCTCTCCCTCCCCCTTCCTGGGGCTCCCTCCCTTCTGCGCGCTCTCCCACGCCGCCGCGCCGCCTTTCCCCTCGTGCCTGCGCCTCCCGGCCATGCGCGCACGCGCCGCCTTTGGCTTTCCTGGCGGCGGAGCAAGAGCCTTTCATTGGCTCCCGAGTGGCGGCTGCAATGAACGCCCTGCGGCGCGCGGCTGCCCGCCTGCTCCTCCTGGCTCCACCTGCCCGGCAGGTAAGAGGCGGGAAGGGCGCTGCGCGAAACCTCCAGAGCTCAGCAGGGCTTACCTGCAAGGAAGGGGACGCCGGCGGCATGCCGAGGGATGGAATGGAGCGGGAAGGACCGTGGGTGGAAGGTCCCGGGTTCAACCCCCGGCGTCTCCAGGTAGGATTTGGGGGCGGAGGGTGTCCCCTGCCTGCAACTGTGGATGGAGAGCAGCTGCACTGAGTTCTGGGAGTCCTGGGTTCAAATCCCCACTCAGCCACCATGAAGCCCGTGGGTGACCTCAGTCCCGCCTACCTCACAGGGCTGTTGGGAGGAGAGCAAGGGGAGGAGGGGGGGACCATAAACGCCACCTTGAGCTCCTTGGAGGAGACGTAAAAGGCAGGATATAACACTGTGATGCAATACTGAATGGGTACATAAGGCAGCTTCCTCTCTCTGTCCTACACACCTGCAAATATTTGGGACGAAGAGCTCCAAAATTAGGAACCCGAGGTATTGTATGCACACTTGAAAGAATGGACTTTGTGGTCCGCCTACAATGCGTTCTATTTAAGTTGCTTTGGGCAGCTGTGGTGCATCTTGCAAATTAACTGTGGAAGCAATCATTGGGATCAAGAACAGGTGGTGAGCTGGGTGTTTGTGTGTACATATCTATACTTGCTGACTGAAGTGGATTCTAGTCTACAAAAGCTTTGCCGTAATCCACTCCTTGCTGTTCTTTCTCTCTCCTGGTGGTTACGGCACATAGTTTTATTATGCGGTGGATATGCAGTGTGTTCCCGGGTCCATGTCACCCAGACAGAAACTCAGTTTTGCCTTGGTGCATATGTCATCTCTTTTGTTAGTTCTGCATCTTAATGTGGCAAATGTGATCTGCTCCGGGTAGTAGTTGTTACGAACCAGCTAAGGGTTGGCTATGGACATGCATCCTGCGACCCTGGCTCAATCAGGTTAGCTCACTATCACTACTTATACATGAGTGGGTATCTATGCCATCCCTTCAGCACAAGATTGTTTTGGACAATACTGTTGTGCATTCAGGAAACCTGTTGTGCATAGAATTGAGGACTGTATCTGTGTGGTGTATTTGTTTAACTTTCAAACACCTCAAAGTAAACACATCAACACATTATATTTTTAGGGCTATGTTGTTGTTGTTTTAAAAAACACATTAGAACCTGTTGGATGAAGAGGAGGATGCACCTATGGTATTATTTTTTTGTACTGCCTCTATTATGATTCCACTGGCAGACCTGCTCCTTTAGGACTTCAATAGTCATCCATTTGGCCTCTGTGAGAATAGAGTTCACACTAGAGGGGCCACTGGACTGACCCTATAGGTTCTTCTTAAGTTCTTATTCAAACCTGTCTCTCCCTTCTAGAGTTTACCATCATGGGAAAAACTTCTCGTTATTATTTTTAATGGCTACAATTTTACAGCATGTGTTTTTACAGCTTAATGAACCTGGGCTCCCTTTGTTACACATGTACCCAATGAAAGCAACAAACGCACAATAATAAATTTCATTGGATTGACTTTGCTGGAAACATGTCCTGGGTGTTGTTGCTGTGCTGGAAGCAGATTTCTTCTGAGAGGATTAATAGGATGCAATTTCTATTTGTTGTCCTGACAACCATGACTCCACATCCCCGTTTGTTCATCCACGCAGGTTAATCTAATTTCAGGATTAGCTCATCAGTATCAAGCCACAGCGGGGGAAACATCTGGGATCGATGCCATGGGATTAATTAAAAGGAGTAACACACTCATATAGGGCTATTATACTCTGTAATCCAGGGAAGTATTAGCAATGGACTTTCAGTGTCCTCAAACTGTGTTTTGGGTATTAATAGGATTCCTTTGAAGTTTATCGGGGGCGGGGGGGTCAGTATTTGTGTACTTTCTTTGTTTGATACACCACTCTTTTTTAAATCATCATAATCACAGAGCAGCCTACGCAATGAAACATTAAAATAGGATAAAAAACCATAATGTTATAAAAGTTGGGTGTCACCCCCACTCTCTGCCAAGAATTGGAGAATTGAAGGCAAGTTGGCAAAGCTTACAGAGAAGCTCAGAGACAATGGCAGTGAGAAATTTAAAAAAAGGTTAGGAAACATTTATTGTATATGTGCAAAAATATGGTATACAAATAGAAACATTTGCAAGTGTTAAATAATGAGTCTACCATAGGCAATTTGAAATATTAATGTATGATGGTAGTTTGTTAAATATTGATAATTAATATAAGAAAAATAAGAAAAATAGGTTTTATATAAGAAACCATACTTATTGAGAAAAATAAGAAAACATACTTATTTAATGAAACAGAAAAGGAGAAGGAGGGAAGTCAGCAAGTTAAAGAGAACCTCCAAAATATGTTTATATATACTGAAAATGTGTCATGATTAAGGTTTATTTATATACTCTCTCTTATTTTTTGCTTTATTTTCCTTTTATTCACCCTCTCCCCCGAATTGTATTATCTCTATGGAGAATACTTGGCGAAGTTAAAATTGTAAAATCAATAAAAAATATTTAATAATAATAAAAGATTGAAGATGTGGCAGAGACCATCATAGCTTTAAGAAATATGATTTATTCACATATTTGCACCTTCAGTCTGCCTTCCCTGTGTGTGTGTGTGTGTGTGTGTGTGTGTACGCACATGCACACACACACCAAACACAAGGAATCTCATTCTGTAACTACCTAAAATTTCTCAGTTTGTGGGAACGGCAGCAGAAACCAGAGGTTTCTTTGCCTGTCAAGCACAGCAGAGTTGGGTAGCTTTGGTCAGTCGGCTTCTCCTGTCAGAGGCAATATGCCTCTGGGTACTGCTTGCTGGGAATCACAACTATGTGTATATGTTGTAGGGGGCACTGTTGTGCTCATGTTTTGCTTGCAAGCTTCCCATGAGAATTTGATTGACCACTGTGAGAACAGAATGCCAGGCTAGATGGGCCTTCAGCCTGATTCAGTAGAATATTCTTATGTTCTTAGCTTTGTCCCTTTTGCTGAGTGCAGGATGCAGATCTTACCCGCAGTTGCACGTGAAGACCCTGCTTGTAACTTTGCTGTACCTGAAGCAGCCTCCCAGTTTGGGGCAGCGAGGCAACTTCTTTCATTGCATAATCTTTACTTCAGCAGACTACGAATAAACTCCCCCCTGCCCCTAGCAGGAACATGGAGTTGTATAGGCTCATAAATGCCTATGACGGGAAAGTTAGTGCTATAGGGCTGATGAATTAATGTGTCTCGTTCCCCTTTGTTCTCTCTTGAATAATATGGACTCAGGATGAGGCAGACAGCTAATCTCTGGAGCATTAAGTAATTGCTCTCAGAACTGCGCCTTCGAGCTTGCCTTTTGCTGCTGTGCGCACATGTGAAAAAACAGCGCCGGGTTGTGGGAATTCTCTAAGGGTTATGGGAACTTTTTAAAGCAGCTCTTTCAAACCGAGGACCCTTTGCTTGTAATCTCACGGAGGAGCCCAAACCTCGTAACTGAGGGGTAGGCAATTTGCATCTTAATGGGCTCGGTGCATGCCTGTAGTATTATACTTGAAGTTGTTGCCTCCTTCTCCTTCACGGCTACCCCGCAACGCACTCCAGATCAATGGGGCAGAATCTAATAAGGGGCTATAAGGCCAGTGAGAGCCCAAGCCTCTTTTCTCTCTCACACACAGTGTGGATTCAGAAGCTGCTTACAAACAACTGCTCCTCCTCCTCCTCTTCTCTGTTTCTTGCTCCTCCTCTCTCTGGAACTCAGGACACCCTACTGGAGGTTTCCAAGCACCCTTTCATTTCGGGAACTGGTGCTGCTGCACCCAATCCTGCCTAGCTTCAGAAATGTCACAAAGCAACGTGCGATTCCAAGGAGGTAGTTTGAACATACGCAGCTGGCGTGCTTTGTTTTGTGGCAGTGCCACAAGGCAACTGGCGCCGTTTGATGAAATGTGCCCTATTTTAGGCCACCCCTGCTTCCCATCACTCCCTCCGCTGCACCTGATGGTGCAGCTGCTGCCAAGTGGGATGTTAAACATGTCCTGTGGGAGCGCCTGGGGTTCTCTTATCCAGTTCCCTCCTCTGTATCTAGCCTCAGTTCTGGAGCCATATTCAAGGGTTATAGAAACAGGGAAATTCCATTCACAAGGAGGTAGGGGAAGAATAGTTTATGGGGAAAGTGTGCTAGCCTTGGGTTGAAGAATAGTGAGCATGTGAACTGGGCAGCCAACTTCTTCTTGCTTGGGCTTCTTGCATGATGTAGGGACCCTAATTTTCCGCAGCTTCTACTTTGCATCTGCAACCACCATGAGTTCAGGAGGGTCTCTGCTTCAGACAGTGGCCCTCCAACTTGAGGAGGAGGGTGTGGAGGAGGAAGGGGGCTGGATTTAGCACACTCAGCCCCACAACAACCCCTCCTTTTCTGCGTGTAACCCCCCCCCCCCCCCGGAATTTCTACCATGCCCAAATATGGCTTGATTGATCATGTCATCTGTAAGCTTTATTCAGGTTCCTGAGACTTTTTGAAATATTGGGTGATGAAAGAATTCTCCTGGTCTTCAGGTAAGACTGGTGTGTGGCACAATGGGCCTAGCAGTCCCCATTTGCCACTTTTCAAATTTCCCCTCTTCTATGTTTTAGATCAGGGGTCAGCAGTGTGCGGCCCATGGGCTGGATGCAGCCCACGAAGACAGTTTTACCAGCCCACGAGCCGCCCCCCCAAACCGAGCTGCCAGCTCAGTGAGTTCCCCGTACGCTGTGCTATACCGGCTATGGGGTTGTGGCGCTCATCTCGCTTTCAGGCCAAGAGAGCTGGTGTTTGTCCACAGACAGCTTTCCGGGTCATGTGGCCACCATGACTAAACTGCTTCTGGTGCAACAGAATACCATGACGGAAGCCAGAGTGCATGAAAATGCCGTTTACCTACCTGCCACTATTTATCTACTAGCATTGGTGTGCTTTCGAACTGGTAGGTTTGCAGGAGCTGGGACAAAGCAATGGGGAGCTCACCCCATCATGCTATTTCGAACTGCCGACCTTTCGATCGGCAAGCCCAAGAGGCTCAGTGGTTTAGACCGCAGTGCCACCCACATCCCTCTAATTAATGAATGCCCTTTGTAAGAGTAATTAATACCCTTTGAAATATGGCTTGCCTGATATTAAAAGTGCATGGATTTAAAATCCAAGCCAGCGGAGGATGGAGCGACATGCAGAACTGTCAGCTTCTCAAATACAGTGCAATATCACTAAGAAGAAGTTAAGATGGTTTTATAAAAAACATAAATATCCTCAAGGGTTGCGTCTTTGTAGTAATAGTTCTGCACAGCAGCCTTCTCCAGCGGTTTTTGTGCTCCAGGTGTTTTGGACTATAACTCCCAAAAAGTTGCTATCAGCACCAGCTCACTGCAACAACTCTTAACTTTAAAACTTTTTGTTTGGGTTTCTCGTCTTGTAGAACATTGTGGGACAAAAGACATCATGGCTTTGACAGCAGAGGTAACCAGCAAGGATAGATGTTCTGGCATACTGCCCAAGTGGGAAAATATTGGTTCTCTAAATGTTCCTATGGATTGATGATAAGCCATGTGCTTTAAAGGCTGTGCCAGAAGTAAGAGTCTTGATTATGTCTGCAGGCAGGTGAAGAAGAAGAAAATGGCCCCGATTCTGAATCTCGCGTTTACGAATCTTAACAAACGTTGAACTTTGGAGTATGAATACTACGTGATGATTTTAAAAATGGATAAGGTAGAGTAGCAATACATCTTGACTCTAAAGACAGGATTTAAAAATAACAAGAGCCAGAACAAAGTAACTTGAACAGCAGTAAGATCTCAAAGGGTTTAATGAGAAAGCATGGTTTTTCAATGCTGCCAGAACACAAGCAAAGAGAGGGAGATAATCTAATCTCTCGGGGGCAAATAAGTTCCATGAATGTAATAGGAAGCTTAGTTCAATAAAGGCACTCTTTGCATGTTGCTGCCAAACACACCTCAAAAAGCTGACATTGAAAGATAGGCGGGTTCACATGGGGGAAGATGGTTGTTCAGTATCTTGGCCCCAAGCTGTTTAGGGCTTTAAAGGTAATTAACAGCACTATGTGTATAAACTTTATTTTATTTTATTTTAAAAAGTATTGCAGGGAGGATTCCGGAAAACACAAGCCAGTTTGTTAAACATCTGTTCTGGGTGAATTGGTGGGATCATTTATTAAAAGAAACACCAAATGCAGCGCACTGAAGAACAAGCCTTGCTGCAGAGGAATCAGCGTGCCTTTTGCAAAAGAAAGTCCTGCCTCCTCAGCCTTAACTGTTCTTGGGGTGTGTTGACAAGCACATGGGTAGGAATGGTCCAGTCAGTGCTGGATTTACATATGGGCTGAGTGGGCTGCAGCCCATGGCCTCCTAGTCTAGGGAGGCCGTGGCCTCCTGCCAATATATATATATACACACATATAAAAATACAAGTAGATTTTACTATCTGGGCCTAGTTGCTTAGTAACGGTAAAGAAGAACGAGGCTTTGTTTTCATGATCAAATGCTATTAAATTTGGACCTCCCCAGGCCTCCTAGTCGAGGGCCTTCCATTGTTTTAATCCAGGCCTGAGTAAATTTAGCAGTCAAGGAGTAGGCAGATTAGTAACTGGTTAAAGAAGAGGAAGCAGAGAGCTAGTAGCAGAAAGCCAGGATTTTGATTTTGTTTGGAGCTCCTTTCCAACTTGTATATTTTTCTTCATCCTTCCTACTGATTCCCATTCTGTCTCACACTCAGTTTTCCTTCCCCTTCCTTAAAGCGGTACGTACAAAGTACCTTCCAGGGTAGTATAAGGTTGTCTTTATTAAAAGCAATGAAATGTACCTGTCGGCAAGGGCTCTCTTGTACTGTATGATAAATATAAGCTACATTTCCATTAATGATTTTTTTATTTGTCGGCTTGTTATTCGAGATGTTCTGCTGAGTTTTTAAAAAGCTATATAAACAAATTGTAAGGACGTGGTCACGCTGCAATTTGTCTTGCTGCTGATAGGCAGCCTGGGCAGGCAAGCAGGCAGAGCAAATGACACAGCGTGGACCAGGTGAGCTGCAGAGGAATAGGCAGGGCAGGCTGGGGCAGCTCCCCAGCAATGGTCCTACTCTACTGCCACTCCTGCCTCACAACAACGCTGCTGTTTTGGCCTCAGCAATGTGGGAGGCTGGGGAGCTGTCCTACTCTGTTCTTCATGTTCCTCTGCAGCTCACCTATGCCATGGTTTGGGATATCTGTAAGGGGAGGCGGGTGCAGTTTGGGCATTCTGTAAGGGAAGGAAGGGGTGGTACCCGCTGCTCAACTTATATTTAAAGTGTGCTGCAATGTTTTTAATGTTTTCCCACAAAATCACGGACACAGAATTGTGGAGATGGAAGAAAACCTAAGGTTCTTCAAACTCCTGTAATGCAGCAATCAGCTAGGGGTGGTTCGTGTCCATGTTTTAGGAGGCACTGAGTGGGGAAGCAGTTTATTATTAGAACTGAATAAATGCGTTTACTAAATGGGATTGTCTTCACTGAGTTTTCGCACAAGGTTTTCCCCTTTGAGGTTTTGAGGTCCCTAAATATCAGAGGCCACTAGACAGCTGCTTAGCCTGACTCCTGGTATATCCAGCCCTCCTGCTGCTTCCCTATAATATTTGGAGGCTACCAAACAGGTGTCATTACTTGTGGCAGGCTGATATGGGAACAGCATTAAGCAAATCCAGGGTGGATTAGTCAGTGAATGAAATGCCAGAAGTACTGTATTAACATGGATGTAAAAATAGCTTTGGCTATTTCAGAGCTTCGGTTGCTCTGTATTAGCTTGCAGGCTCCGTTCCACGTTAGAGGCTGCCTGTCACTCTGATAATTTGGAACTCTGGGCGGGGGGCAAAGGATTCTGACTTGCTTTTTACAGAGGCTCCTGTTTCTGGGTACAGAGAAATACAGTGAGTGCTTCACTCAGGATGCAGATTGGCTGACACTGACAGGTAAATGGAATGGGAATTGTGAGCTGTAGCTGGTATGGATTAGGGCAGAGTTTGGGTGTTCAGTGGATTCGATGAACATAGAAGCTATTAATTTCTCATACCTTAATAGTGAATGTTTTAGTGCCATTAACAAGTACGTTTAATTACGTTATATCAAAAGCTTGTTTAATTTCACAGATGCAATTAACTTCAGAGGTTTTTACCTCTTTAATTTCTGTGTGTGCAGTGGATGTGATGGAACGGAAGCAGAAAGAAAAGTGGTGCATTTCTCAGACGCTAAATAATGAATGTTGACATTTTTTAATGCTGTTATTAAATCATTATAGGATAATCTGTTTCTTGAGCACTCATCCTGGTTTGCTTTCGCAAAGCTCACATGGAGGTTAAATTATATCTGGTTTTTAGTGAGCATGCATGCAGATTTGTTTTCAGAGTGGTTATGCAACAATGAGCATTCATCCCAATTTGTCTGCTTCCCATTAATCATTCATCCATCCCACAGTTTTTGGTACATTTTATCACCACATTCCAAACCGCAAAAGCTCTGTTTTTTAATAAGTGGCTTTGTTGCATTAGGATGTACAAACCTAAAGTTCTGGTTTGCACTTTAATGTCTCCAGCAAAATAGTGACAATCTGGAAGCACTGTTTGCATTGGATTAAAAACCTGCTTAATTTCACAGGAGAAATTTACATCAGTGGCTTTTATTTCTTCATTGCATTTGATTGCACCCAGAAAGAGATCCAACCCGCCCTTTTTTAAGGCTTGGAGGTCCAAATTAGCCAACGTAGTGCATTCTTGGCTTTCGTAATAGTAGCTTATTTTAGGCTATGTTTCAAATGCCCATGTGCTGCGTTTTGGGGGAGAAGGCCCACCCGTTGCATCATGTGGAACAGTGTGGGACTGGGATCTTTTCACCTTTGTTCATTATCCCATTGAGCGTATTTAGGCACCAGGTTCAGAAGATCATGGTTCACCAGTCTTTTTATGGGAGGCTTGTGGATCTGCTTGTTCTTGGATTTGGTCTCTTGATTGCTCTTCATTTTTGTTGCTGCTGCTGGTTATTTTCTCAGGTTTTTCTTTGGATAATAATAATAATAATAATTAATAATAATAATAAACCTTTATTGTCACTACACCACCTTTATGCACCCCCACATACACTTGCTCTAGTGCTGGGTTGGTTTTATTTTGATTTGTTAGCCACCCAGATGATCCCATTTGAGATGGAAGACTATAGAATACTAAACAAATAAATGCTATGGTTGACAGCTCACTCCCATATAAGGACCAAATGGTGGTGCTGGGGAGCCTTCTGACCTTGGGTAAGATCAACATAATGCCATGCATTAGCTCAGTCAGCTATTCTTTCCCCTCTTTCCCATCCCCCTTTTGGCGTGAACACCCAACTGTATGAAAAGTTCTGTGCAATTTGTAAGCTTTCATATTTTTACTTGGCTCATAGAAAAGGTATTGTCTTGCCCGTTCTACTTTTGCATTAAATCACCTGGGGTATATTTTTTATATTATGGTAAGTGGAGAAGAACGATGCCCCTCTACATATGGCAAATAACCCAGCAGATTGTAAGGGGAGGAGGTCATATTTGTCTCGTCCCTGGCCATGGAGGGAATTGCTGATCAAAAAAGGCTGCTGGTTTGTTGTTGTTTTTTTCTTCCACTAGTAAGCAGCCAGGAAAGTTTCTTCTGACCTGTTGGAAGCTTCTTAGTATTGCCCAGCTGCTTTCTCCCATGATCTTTGGCTGAACTAAACATCTCATAGACTTTGAAGTGCTGAGGTTTCCCAGTGCCCTGCCTCCAGGTATCTCCAGCCACCCAGAATGGCTGGGGAAACCCAGTCAGATGGGTGGGGTGTAAATAAAATCATCATCATCATCTGGGCTGTCCAGGGCTTATTAGGCTCCCTATTATGACATTGGCGTGACATCAGAGCAGATGAGTAGATGGGAGCCACATAGAATGACAGTGACACATCAACAGACCGTAGGCCCCAGCAGAGCTGAAATCTCTGAAAAAGCATTTTGACAGGTTTAATGGTTGCATTTGCAAGAGTACGAGCAAAGAAGGAAGGTAGCAAACTACTTTAGAGAACGTTATTGTTGAAGAACTAGCTCAGTCGGTAGAGCATGAGACTCTTAATCTCAGGGTTGTGGGTTTGAGCCCCATGTTGGGCACAAGACTCCTACATTGCAGGGGGTTGGACTAGATCACCCTCGTGGTCCCTTCCAACTCTAGGTAAAAGGGTAAAGGGGACCCCTGACCATTAGGTCCAGTCGTGACCGACTCTGGGGTTGCGGCGCTCACCTCGCTTTATTGGCCAAGGGAGCCAGCGGACAGCTTCTGGGTCATGTGGCCAGCATGACTAAGCAGCTTCTGGTGAACCAGAGCAGCGCACGGAAACACTGTTTACCTTCCCGCAGGAGCAGTACCTATTAATCTACTTGCACTTTGACGTGCTTTCGAACTGCTAGGTTGGCAGGAGCAGGGACTGAGCAACGGGAGCTCACCCCGTCGTGGGGATTCGAACCTCCGACCTTCTGATCGGCAAGTCCTAGGCTCTGTTGTTTAACCCACAGCGCCACCTGCGTCCCAACTCTACAGCTTCCAACTCTACAGCTCAATTATTCATGCAATGTGGTAAGCCAAACTATGGCTTACCGAGATGGCACAAACACACAGGCTGTTGGCTGCATCTTGTGGTTAGCACAGCAAGAGCTTAACTGTGAGACCCAGTTCAGATAACATGCTAAGCCAAGGCTTGGCTTAGCTTAGCTCAGCAGAGCACTGCAAGGAGAAGGACCAGGGAGGAACAAAGCAGCTATGGAGAGCTTCTGTCCTGCACATTAGCTCAGTCTCATGCAACCTATGTCTCAACTAGGTTTCAAACCTAAGTCTGCAGAAGAGGGACCTGTTTTCATTCGTTTCAGTCATAGTTTATAAGAAGACATAACCATGGAAATGCAAGTGAAAATAATAGAAATATATTAATGGTTCATCATACTACTTGCTTGGCAGAGAAGTCTACGTATCACTTTGAGAGCTTTTACATGGGAGCTCTTCAAAGAGGGGTAGGGGACTGTTCTAACAACTCTCAGCATTCTTAACAAGCTACAGTTCCCAGGATAATTTGGGGGAAGCCATGACTGTCTAAAGTGGCGCAATACTGCTTTAAATGCATAGTGCAGATGGGGCCAAACCCTCCAGTACTCCCTCTGCTAAATGAACCTTGTAAATACAGTGGACCCTCGAGTTACATACCGCTCTGGATACGTACCTTTTGGGTTGCAAACGTGGCAATCCCGGAAGCGTATACTTTCGGGTTTTGCCATGCGCAGAAGCGCTCTGCGCTCCACACACATGCACAGAAGCACTCTATCGTGCCACATGTGTGCGCAGAAGCAGCACTTCCAGTTACGGACTTTTCAGGTTAAGTACAGACCCCTGGAACAAATTTAATTCGTATCCGGAGGTCCACTGTACAGAACTGGGCTTTCTCACTACTGAGGAAGGCTGGCAAGCAGAGGAAGCGAAAAATTACATTTGCAATATTTCATGAGGTTGATTAGCAAAAGTAATTTCAAAAGACGAAAGGCGATCTGAAGGGGAGGCAATTTTAAGATGTATTCTGAACCCACATTGATGTGGGCGTGAACTCTGCATTTCAAAGGAATCGAATAAATCTCATCAAAGGCTTTGATAAACCCAAAATCTGGAAAAGTAATGAGCTGCAGTCATGAGAGGCTCAAATGCTAGGTAGGTCTCACCTGGTTGTTTTTTATCATGTAGAGTAGCTAAAATATTTAGACGAAAGGAGGTCATAATTTTGCAGACTTTCTGGGTTGTAGGCTTTGAAAATTAAATAAAATTCTCCCCTTTTTTTAAAGCTAGTTTAGGATTTAACCTTTTTTAAAAAACAAAAAACAAAAAAACCCTATATTCTTTGTGGACTTTGTATGAATGGAAATTTTGCTTGGATCAGTGATTTAGTACCACACTGCCAGTTAGGGTAAAGTTAGCCTAGGGTAGGTTAGAGCTGGTATGGTTAGAGCAAGGATAGCCAATGGAGTGACCTCCCAATGCTCTTGGAACATCTCCCATCATCCCTGACCTCAAAAAGCTGGGGAAGCAGGGTTGCTTCGGGGATCCAACTTGGCTGAGTTCTCTTCCAAACAGAGCTACTGGTCCTCCAAAGCTGTCTCCCCAAACCTGGCGCCCCACTCTCCCCCACATTTTGGACTGCAACCATCGCTGACTGCATGGAAGGCTACTTCAAAGGCTGCTCTGAACTTTATACCTCTTCAGCAGAGGAAGAAAAACACTCCTAGTAATTACAGTTTCACTTTGCATTAAAACACACACAGTTGTATCTTCTTGAGTTGAAAGCAGTGAAAGCTGGGATTACTGTAGCAGGCTGTTTAAAAGCCAGGCTTGCCAAGTGCATTCAGAGATTTAAGAGCCTGTCAAAGGGATGTCGGTGGCGCTTCGGTAATTGGTGTGCGGATTGCCCCACTGCTGGCTATTTTTCTTTGGCGGTGTTTTCATCGTTGGGTGAGTTAAAGAATGCACGAGAGGCAAGCTCAGTTTTCTTGAGGTTGTCTGCATTAGCTGTATGCAGTGATGGACCAATTCTGGGCTCGGAATAATTTTCCGTGTATATTTATTCATTTAGAAAACCAGCTCAATTTAAGCTGTTTTCTAAATATGGAAATAAATGGGGGGAATTACTGTGAGGCCAATTCGAACCTCATTGGGATCCCAATGTTTCCAGAAGTGTGATGGGTTCTGAAAACTTCCCTAGTCTGCACCCATGAGACCCTCTGGCCTGTTGACATCTTTCCCCTATCTGGTCTGGAAGCAGTGGCAGAGAAGTTGTTGGAAGCCTGCCTGCTAACTGCTGGAATATTGCTACAACCACTTCCTTAGTGTGCCAGGGAGCCTGGGAAATGTGATTTCCATGATGCCCAATGCCCCTATTGGGGACTTGGGCACCCTAAGAAAATCACATACCCAGGCTCCCTGGCACACTAAATTGCAGCAGTCACCAGGAAGGAGAGATGCTTCTAGTGAGAATGGTTAGACCAGGGGTCAGCAAACTTTTTCAGCAGGGGGCCGGTCCACTGTCCCTCAGACCTTGTGGGAGGCCAGACTATATTTTTTGGGGAAAATATGAACGAATTCCTATGCCCCACAAATAACCGAGAGAGATGCATTTTAAATAAAAGGACACATTCTACTCATGTAAAAACACGCTGATTCCCAGACCATCCGCAGGCTGGATTTAGAAGGTGATTGGGCTGGATTCGGCCCCCGGCCTTAGTTTGCCTAGCCATGGGTTAGAAGCTGGGAAGGAAGAGGGAACAGGAAAGAGTTTTGCTCATGGCATGAAGAGAAGGGTGTTTTTTCTCATGATGGTGGAACTTCTGAGTTATCCAGAGAAATTGGCTTAAATGAAACAAGTTTTGTTGTAGCACATTTAGGGATGTAAAAAGAACGCTAAGACAAGCCTGCTGGATCAGGCCAAAGGCCCATCTTGTCGGGCATCCTGTTCTCACAGTGGTCAACCAGACGCCTGTGAGGAACCTGAACTCAAGTGCGCTCCCCTCTCCTGTGGTTTCCAGCAACGGGCATTTAGAAGCACGACTGCCTTTGACAGAGCCAGAGCATAACCATTCTGTCTAGCATGCAGCCATTGATGGGAGGCCCATGCAGAGGTAGGGGCAGCTGGGTAAACTTGCCCCAGGCCTCAGAGGGCTAAAGAGGCTGGGGGAGCTGGCAGGAGCTTGCTGGACATACTACCATGTCAAGAATACCCTGCACCTCTCAGTTGACTGGGTACGTAATGGGCAAAACAGCCATGCTTGTCCATATGCACTGCAAGGCTGCGATAGTAAAATGTGAACCTGCATTACTGCTTACTAGTGTGTCGCGTCAGGTCAGATTAGGTCATGGGTAGGCAAACTAAGGCCCAGATCCGGCCCAGTCGCCTTCTAAATCCAGCCCGCGGATTGTCCAGGAATCAGCATGTTTTTACATGAGTAGAATGTGCCCTTTTATTTAAAATGCATCTCTGGGTTATTTGTGGAGCATAGGAATTCGTTCAATTTTTTCCCAAAAAATATAGTCCGGCTGCCCACAAGGTCTGAGTGACAGTGGGCTGGCCCCCTGCTGAAAAAGTTTGCTGACCCCTGGATTAGGTGGTGCATCTCATGGACAAGACTCCCACCCCATTCATCAGACAAGGCCTGCACAGGCCTGATTGATGCCCTTATCCTCTGTGAAATTCTCTAATCTGTTTCAGAATCATCCAAGTTAGTAGCCATCACTGCCTCCTGCGGAGAGTGACTTCTATAGTTTAGCTTTGTGCTGCATGAAGAAGGGACGCGGGTGGCGCTGTGGTCTAAACCACTGGACCTCTTGGGCTTGCCGATCGGTGGTTTGAATCCCCGTGACGGGGTGAGCTCCCGTTGCTCTGTCCCAGCTCCTGCGAACCTGGCAGTTCGAAAGCACACCAGTGCAAGTAGATAAATAGGTACCGCTGCTGCGGGAAGGTAAACAGCATTTCCGTGCGCTCTGCTTTCCGTCACGGTGTTCTGTTGTGCCAGAAGCCGTTTAGTCATGCTGGCCACATGACCCGGAAAGCTGCCTGTGGACAAACGCCGGCTCCCTCAGCCTGAAAGTGAGATGAGCGTCGCAAACCCATAGTCGCCTTTGACTGGACTTAACCATCCAGGGTTCCTTTACCTTTTTTTACCCCACAACTTCAGTGCCTATGAGTTTGGCAGCACAGTAGCAGCAACCTACAACAGGAGTCCTACAAGTCAAAGGGCATGAATAATGTGCCAAGCTTGTGGTGCAGTCAGCTAAGGGATTTACTTGTAGCTCAGTGGCAGAGCTTTTGCAAAACATCTTGGGCTCAATCCCTTCCAGGCACAGCTGGGCAAAACCCTCATCCTGAGCTGTATATGAGGCTGCTTCCCATGTCTCCCTGCTTCAGATCTTAAACCAATGCAGCAGACAAAAGCCCTAGGAGGCGAGCTGTGTCTGAAATCTCAGTCGCACAGCACGGCCTGCAGTTTTAGAAGTTGCCATTGTCAAATAAACTGCTGCACCATCTTTTGTTAGGAGCTCAGGCGTGTGTTTGGGTTACATAACGGTGAGAACGAATGCTGCCCTGCCCATGATGCGCCCTTTTCACAATTGTACATGGCGTGTGCAGCGGGATTAACATCAGTGGTGAAGCAGAAACACAAAAATAGAATCTGAATAATGAATGTGCCGGAGGGCAGAACCGTCTCCTCCTCTGCTATATCCATCTGCCACTGTTGTCCTAAGCTGCACTGCCTTTAAGCTGGTTCTGCTATTTCTGTCCCCTTCGCCACATATATAGAAAAGCCGGCGCTGAGTGTCTGGTTTTGCTTTGTCAGAAACCTTAGAGTCCCGAGCGTTTCAGAGTCTTAACAGTGATGTGGCAAATTTCATAAATAAAAGGCAGCAATAGTGGGATTGGCAGGACACATGATGCTGTCATAGCAGGCCTTACATAGCCTGGGGGTGGAGCAGGGATGGAGGGGAGAAGCAGATCGCCGATAAAGCCCTTACTTAGGCTGATTGTATTTGTCCGCATGCAGTGACTATTCTGTTGAGATTGAGTCAGGGGATTTTCTGGATGCTGCTGTTCTGAAAATGGTACCCAATTTGAAGAGAGAGAGAGAGAATGTGTCTCTGTGCAAAACTCCACAAGGGTAAATCTGCTAGTGTTTCGAGATCTGCTTGTGCATCCGTACCAGGGGTGCAAACCTGAATAAAATATTGGGGCAGACAGGTAAGCCCTGTCCCACATAATCGATCACATGATGGGGCTCACCCCATACCATTTGAATGGCAGTGCCCAAATATTTTATGGGATGGCCTCGGCCCCTAGGAATTGGCTCCTATGATCTGTACACAGCTATATACATGAACCTTCCGTGTGTGTTCACAGAAGAAGTATTGCTTCCTACGCAGGAGACGAGCCTTCCAGACTTGCCATTATTTTTGCGGGAGAGATCTATGCACGATGAAAGTGGATTAAAGCGCTCTGTTGCCCTAGTGCAACAAATCCTCTTTTAAAAAAACCCGGACCTTTTGTGGTTAGGAAAGTGACAAGGAGATGCACTGAAAAGTGTGGGTAGATAAAAATATTAACCAGAAGGCATGCAAGCACCCGAAAGCAAATGAGGACGTCTGCTCATTTGTCATATGACTGCCCTGTACACAATTAAGAACGAATGCTCAGCGAAGACCGGATCTATTCGAACCACTGTGTAAGCTTTGTGTGAACAATTCAGGATGAATGGTGAATAAACAGGTTGTCTGGAGAACCATGTCACAGTACAAGTGATGGATACACCAAAGAGTAACAGGGGGGTTGGGAGGGGTCTTCCAATCCAAACTCTCAGGCTGGTGGCTGAGGTGTCTTGTGAAGCAAGGTGGATGTGGCGATCAGACAGGGCCCCTGGACGTTTCACGGTCTATTGACCCTGTGCCACCACTGCGGTTGCTTTCTTCGCTGCCACCACCACACGGAGTCCAGACAGTTGTTAACATAAACAAATATCAAGTTTATTTTTAAATGCAGGAATAAGCGTATGGTTTCGGTTTATTTTTCTCTTGTCCGTTTCTTAAATCTTAGTTCCTACAACTTCAAACTGAATTATTCCCAACTATCTAACTCCCTAACAATTCCTCTCACTCTTTCACAATACAACTCAACCAACCCATTGCCTATTCCACCCTCTTCCTTCTCCAACACCCAAGCCTCAACTCCCAACTGACAAACCTCAACTCCCAACTCCCAAACCTCAACTGACTTTTCAAAACCTCCCACTCTATCTTTTACTCCCCCCTCGCATTCTCACTGGCCAATCACTTCACACCCATTTTAACCCTTTCCTTGACACATCCTAGGGCAACCGCCACAGTGGAGGTATTCCAGTTATCAGTGGGAGAAACTTTCTAGAAAATGCCTCATTTGTTACTCTCCCAGATTTAACTAAGGACCTCTGCTTGCATTTGGTAGGGTAAGGGTTCTGTGGAGTTAATTTAGCTCTTTGCACTTAGGGTAATCCAAAGGTTTATTCTGTAAATCGGTTCTTGAGCAGCAGGACGATTCCCAGTAAAACAGCTACTGTAGAGAGGATATTTAACAAGAATCAGAGGAGCTTCCACTGTTGGAGAGATGCTTCGTTTGACCCACTGTGGCTTTCTCCCAATTACTTGCAGTGGAACCACTCTCATTGCTCAGAACAAAGCCAACATAAATACTTCATTCACCTTGGGAAATGTGGAAGCTGCCTTATATGAAGTCAGCGCTGTCTAGCTCAGCATTATCCACACTTACTGGCAGCTGCTCTCCAGGGTTTCAGGCAGGGGAGCTGCCCAGATTTGCCTGGAGATGCCAGGGATTGATCCTGGGGGCTTGTGCGTGCGAAAGCAAGATGCTCTGCCCCTGAGCTACAGCCCTTTCCCCATGCAGAATTGCAGTTCATCTGAGCTTCTTAGTAACATTAGATGAGCTGCTTGGTCTTTGCAGTGGAATCTTTATAATATAATAATAAACAGAACAGCATTAAATATTAAAAACTTCCCTGAACAGGGCTGCCTTCAGATGTCTTTTAAAAATAGGATAGCTGCTTATTTCTTTCACATCTGAAGGGAGGGTGTTCCACAGGGTGGGCACCACTACCGAGAAGGCCCTCTGTCTGGTTCCCTGTAACCTCACTTCTCACAATGAGGGAACCGCCAGAAGGCCCTCGGCGCTGGATCTCTGTGTCCGGGCTGAATGATGGGGGTGGAGACGCTCCTTCAGGTATACTCGGCCAAGGCCGTTTAGGGCTTTAAAGGTCAGCACCAACACTTTGAATTGTGCTCAGAAATGTATTGGGAGCCAATGCAGATCTCTCAGGACCGGTGTTATGTGGTCCCGGCGGCCACTCCCAGATGCTTTGTTTAGATATTTTTGCTGTTACCTTTGCTAACTGTATGTGTAGGATTGATCTGGGCTCATAACATTGTCTCCTGGTGTGCTATTTACTATAGCCAAATATATATATTAGCTTTACTCAGAGAAACCCACCAAATGAGCTAAGTAGGCTACATTAGCATACATGGCTAAGGGTTAAACTGACAAGGGCTGCCCATGCCTAAGGGTGACACATTTTTACAAATAAACCCCAAACTAAAGCCCCAATAAAAAGGGAGAGGCTGGAAAGAAGAGAGGGAGGGAAAGAAAGAGATGGGTGGCACCCCATAACTGTTCGGGGAACACATTCTAGACCTGAGAGTTGGCAGGGGAGAGTGGTTGAAGTTCTTCAAGTAAGCAGAAGGTTTGGTGCTCATTTACAGACAAACAAACAAGTAAAAATGAGCAGTTGGTCTGGAGGAGTGAAGGTCATGCTCAAAAGTGGGGGGACGGGACCTGTGGCCATCCAGATGTTGCTGAACTCCCAACTCCCATCCCCCTTAGCCATTGGCCATTACTTCCTGGGGTTGCTGGGAGTTGATGTTCAGGAACATCTGGCAGGTCAAAGATTCCTCACCCTGGGTCTAGTACAGGAACTGTTTATGATCTGTGGTCCTCCAGATGTTGCTGGTAAAGGTAAAGGGACCCCTGACCATTAGGTCCAGTCATGACCGACTCTGGGGTTGCGGCGCTCATCTCACTTTATTGGCTGAGGGAGCCGGCATACAGCTTCTGGGTCATGTGGCCAGCATGATTAAGCCGCTTCTGGCGAACCAGAGCAGTGCACGGAAATGTCGTTTACCTTCCCGCTGGAGCGGTACCTATTTATCTACTTGCACTTTGACGTGCTTTCGAACTGCTAGGTTGGCAGGAGCAGGGACCAAGCAACGGGAGCTCACCCCATCGCGGGGATTCAAACCGCCGACCTTCTGATTGGCAAGTCCTAGGCTCTGTGGTTTAACCCACAGCGCCACCCGTGCCCCTAGATGTTGCTGGACTACAACTCTAATCATCCATGGCCATGCTACCTGTGGCTGGTGGGTGTTGTGGTCAACAACAACTGGAGGGACACAAATTATAGCCACCCCTGGAATAGGAACCTATTTTGGAAACGAGGCTTGAAGGATGCCTTGGCACAAGGCCACAGAGATTGTAACTCGGTAGGTAAGTGTCAGGGAAAATAGGAATACTAAGATAGTTAAGAAGTTAAGCAAACACAGCTGAAAGATTTCTAGAGCCAGGCTCTGTACACCTCTGGTTCTCACGAAGAAGCGACTGAGCTGCTGAAAGGATTATTTAATGGGTTATGTAAAGCTATCTCCCTGCCCTTGTGAAAGGGAAGAGAGCACAGCAGCTCTGTTCCTCCAGCAGACGCTTGCTGATATGGGCTGAGGGATGCTGGTGATCCACAGATAGCCTTGCAACCTCTTGATGCCTGGTTAAGAGGAGGAAACAGGAGAGAGTGAGCAAGTTCCCTGATTACTTGGAGTAGTGCTAAAGTGCAGAATGCAACTGGTGGTGATTTCTAAAACAGCAGAGGGAGAAAAAGCGACTGCTCAGTGGGAACGCTTGGAACCATTAAGCAAAGGCTTTAACTGATTTTTATTCTTTTGCACCTCCCTCCTCTTAGGAACACATTATATCTATGAGAAGGCTCAAGCCTTCAAAGAAGGAGGGGTGAAGTAACTGCAGTTCGTTAATCCTTCGCTGTGACTTCCGCGCTACTGAAGAAAGGGTGGTGTTTTCATCGCTCATCTTCCTCTTCTGTCAGCATCCAGCCTTTGCCTTCACCCTCCAGTGCCAGCCTTCTACCAACAATGGCAGCGCCAAAGAGCACAGGTGTGTTATTTGCAGCAGGGATCCGAGGAAGCACCCCGACACTTCAAAGCCGCAGCAGAAGTGTTGCCGGCTAAAGAACATAGCGATGAAAGAATCGCAGCTTTCGGCTCTTGAACTGGGACCTGAATCAAGGAGGGAGGATCTGATCATCTCCTGCCTGATGAGGTCAGCTGTTCAAAGGGGCCTGGACATATTCAAAGCAGCAGCAGCAGACGCTGAGTCAAGCACTTTGTTTGTATGCCTGGAGAGAGAGAGTGAGAAAAGGATGCCCTTGTATTTTGCACAGCCCTCCTTGCTTTTGTGATGTAGAGTTTGCACCTTTAATTGCAAATCTTCCATTAAGCCTGCAGATTGTGACCCTTGTTGAAGTGGCTGCTTAAATGTGGATACAAGTTGGGTCTTCGCTTCCAAGTTTTATTTGGAGGAAACGGAGTGATGCATTTGCTGGAAGATAACGCCGCGAATAAAACTTAGTGCCGAGCCCCATGTCTTAGAGCTCTCTCTAGCTTTCTGTTTTAAATGGTCACGAGCTTTGTCATGTCCACATCCGTGTCGCCGAGGTCTTCCCACAGAACAGCTTGCTAAAGCCGATGGATACATGATCGCCCCCTGGACTATGACCACAGGATATGCGAATGGCGGTCTAGGGAGCCACCGGTATGTTAGATGGAATCGGGAAGACAGTGCAGAGGACTATACAAAGAGCGAGGTCTACGCAGAGGATGAGCAGGGCAGGCAGCGCCGGTTGACGCCTTTGGAGAAACTGACTCTGGATATGTCCCAGGATGAAAAGGTGGTTAAAGAGTTAACTCTGGGGAAGAGGATTGGGTTTTACCGCATCAGAGGGGAAATAGGGAGTGGGAACTTCTCCCAAGTGAAGCTTGGAATCCATGCTCTGACCAAAGGTAGGCTCTGCGGTGTGTGGAACAAGCGGTTGTGTGGGGTTGTGTAGAGATATATACAAGGTGTTTCCAGATGGGTGTTTGTGGGATTGGTGCATCAGACACATGTAAGGTTTTTTGTTCCTACAGCATCCATGTGTCATTGGCATCCAAATGCCAGGCTATAGATCTCCCCCTCCCTTCCAATTTAATCCAGATTTATCCTTTCCCAAGGAAAATCCAGTAATTTTTTTTTATAAAAAAAATTTTTTATAAAAAAAATTTATTTTTTTTATAAAAATAAATTAATAATTAATATAAAAATAAAAAAAAATTAATTTTTTTTATAAAAAAAATTAACCTGTTTGCAACATCTCATTGAACGGTTTGCAAATTCAGCTCCTGTCTGGAAGCACCCACAGAACAGATACTAAGTGGGGCAGTGGGTGGATGCACAGTGTAATATGCCATCCCTTGCGTAAGCATTGAAGGCAATATCCTGAGCTGGTCTCTCCTTGTTCAGGCTCATGTACCATCTGCCTCGCATGCCAAGACCAGAGAGTTAAAGTGAGTTCGCTGCGCTTTTGAGCGCGCTTCTCAACACCCTCTTGGGACAGAGAACAGCCAAATGGGAGATTTCCCCTCCTCCTCCCCTACCTGTTTTCCAGGACATGTCGTTTTTGTCAGGAATGACTATTCCATTCAGTATTCATGATGATACCAAGGAGAGTTGGTTATTTTAGAACAGGACTGGGCAGCCCCTTCAGAAGTTTATGCCAATTTTCCCTAGGTGGGTGGGAGAAATTAGGAGCTTTAAGGTGGTGGTGGACAAGGGCAGAGCCCAAAGTGGGCAGGGATGAAGCCAGAAGTGGGTCAGAACAGCCCTCCTGTCCCCCTCTCCTTCCCCTTCATCATGCATTCATTCTCTCCTGCATACACAAATCCCATCCCCGCTGCTCCCACTAACCACCTTTCTTTCCGTTTCTAGATCACAGGCCAAGCATTATAGAAATGAGTACCATCTGCTGATGGTACTATAAATCTGGGTGGGAAACCTGTGGCCTTTCTGATGCTGTTGTTGGACTACAACTCCCATCATTCCCTGACCACTGGCCATGGTGACTGGGGATGATGGAAGCCAGAGTCCAACAACAACATCTGGAAGGCCACATGTCCCTTCCACCTCTATGATTTATATGGTTTTTATCTGCATAAGTGCCTTCCTCCTCCCAGAATTTGGATGTGCTTCAAATGTGCCTCAGGGGTCTTCTGACTCTGCTGTATGTGTTATCTCCCGTGCTGAGTCTGTCACACTGAAGCTCTTTAGCGTTTATATTTTTGCCCGTATGTGTGTGTCACTTTCTCTGTATTTGCAATTCCTGCTGATACCATGTTTGTGTGTCTGTAGGCGTTAGAAAGCCTCTCCTTGCTCACATCAGATTAATTGAACCCCCCCTCCCCCATCCCATCTGAACCCAGACCTTCACCTCCTGGGGACTGGATTCATAGGGCAATGGCAACAAAAGGATGAGTGCGGATGTGCTTTATACAGCAAGGATTAAAGAGAGCACTTGAACATTTCAAAATGGGAACCGAGGTGTTGCCAGCAGAAGAATTTAGTGATGGCAATTCCAGCTCAATTGCTGAATTATAATGAAACGAACTTGTAATTATTGCAGTGTTATTTCTTGGGAGCAGAGCGGTGTGTGTGTGTGTGTACTAACTTTGCAGTGTTAGCAGTTACAACAGTAGGATATACAGGGGAAATTTACCTGGTGAAAGGAATGCTGAGGTTTGCAGCCTGTTGTCCTGTTGGAAATATGATAAATTATATGCTGGTACAGCCGTACTTTGGAAGTCGAATGGAATCCGTTCCAGAAGTCTGTTTGAATTCCAAAATGTTCGAAAACCAAATCACGGCTTCTGATTGGCTGCAGGAGGCTTCTGATTGGCTGCAGGAAGCTCCTGCAGCCAATCAGAAGCTACGGAAGCCCTGTTGGACGCTCTGGTTCCAAAAGAACGTTTGCAAACCGGAACAATCACTTCTGGGTTTGTGGAGTTTGGGGGCCAAAACGTCCAAGTTCCAGGGCATTCAAGATCCAAGGTACGACAGTATACACTTCTGTCCTGTAAGTCATGCAGTTAATGACTTCCAACGGGCTACTCCAGATACTTTCAGATCTGGTTTCTTGGGGTTTCAGGTGACTCGTTATCCTTCCAAGATAATTATGGTGCATGAAACCACCAAGTGGGGTCATCCGGAGCTTTGGAGTATGTTGTCAGTAATATGCTGATGACACACAGCTCTGCTTCTTCTTTACATCTGAAGGTGTAGCAGTGGATGTGCTGGACCGTTGTCTTGCCTTGGTAATGGACTGAGAGCCAACAAACTGAAGCTCAATCCAGATTAGACTGAGACACTGTTAGTGAATGGTTCCCTAGACCCATATGGATGGGAGGTTGCCTGATCTGGATGGGGTTACACTCTTTCTGAAGGAGCGGGTATGCAGCTTGGGGGTACTTCTGAATCTTTTGCTGTTGCTTGAGGGATAGGTGGCCTCAGTGGCAAGGAGTATCTTCCACTGGTTTCGGCTGGTGGCCCAGCTGTGTCCCTATCTGGACAGGGATAGACAAACTTACGTTGTCTGTGCTCTAGTAACCTCTGTGTTAGATTACTGCAATGTGTTACATGGAGGGCTGCTTCTGAAGATAGTTCGGAAACTTCAGCTGGTGTGGTTGGTTTGAGGGTATTACACTGGCTGCCAGTAAGTTTCTGGGCCCAGTTCAAAGTGCTGGTTTTGATCTATAAATCTTGGGACTGCAACACAATGGTACCTCGGGTTACATACGCTTCAGGTTACATACGCTTCAGATTAACCCAGCTAACCCAGAAATAGTGCTTCAGGTTAAGAACTTTGCTTCAGGATAAGAACAGAAATTGGGCTCCGGCGGCACGGCGGCAGCGGGAGGCCCCATTAGCTAAAGTGGTGCTTCAGGTTAAGAACAGACCTCCGGAACGAATTAAGTACTTAATCCGAGGTACCACTGTACCTCAAAGACCACCTCTCCCCATATGAACTGACCCAGAACCTGCAATGATCACCTGAGGCCCTTCTTTGTGTGCCTCCTCCATGAGTGTTTTGGAGGGTGGCAACATGAGAACGGGCCTTTTCTGCAGTGGCTCCCCATCTGTGGAATGCTCTCCCCGGGGAGACGCTTGCCTGACGCTTTTTGTTACATATCTTTAGGCGCCAGGCAAAAACGTTTCTCTGTAACTAAGGCTTTGGCTGATTAACATTCTATGGCTTTTTAAATGTTTGTGGAAGGGAAGGGGTTATTGGTTTGCTTTTGTTCTTGTTTGTATTTTTATGTAGTAAACTGCCCTGTGATCTTTGGATGAAAAGTGGCATGCTAATTTAACAAATAATAGTAATAAGAGGGAATCCTGTATCTCTCTGCTAAAAAACTGTATCAATAACTGAAGCTCCACCCATGTGCGTGCCTGAATTCTGTGTTCCTGCATGTGCAACAAAAGAACATCCTAGTATTTGGCTCCTTTTCCAGATGATACCTGGCGTGCCAATTGCAAGCTGTGTTTCAAACGGTTGCATCAGCAGCTAGGATTAGAGAGACTCTTGTCACTGATGGCACAGACAAGGTTATAGCAACCTTTTCTTCTAAAAGTGTCTGGCTAGCTGGATTCTCAGGATGACCTGATCTCTCCTCCCTAAACTTCTTAAAACAAAGTGCAGAACCAAGGCTGCAGAAGCAAAATGCGGTGAGGGGAAATTGGGCCATGGATGAAGTGCAAAATCTGATTTGTTACTTCTTTTGGTCTTGCCTAGCCTTGGAACATTTTTTTCTTCTACCCTCTTTTTTCTGTAAATATTGTGCTTGAAAAGAACCCTGAATGAGAAAAGGTCTTTTGTTTCCCACTGTGTTGCTTGGCCTTTGCTTTTTCTCTTCTGTAGTTTGTGGTGAGAAGTGTTTTAAATTTACAAAACACAAGAAATGTCTTGCAGTGCCTTTGAAGCTTTCTTAACAGCAATTGCACTTTTGGGATATTTAATAATTGTGTGTTGCTGTTTTATTGTTTATTGGAGGGGAATAACCTCCATATGTGCTACCTTGAGCTTCTTGGGAAAGGTAGGAGTGTGGCTCAGTCTCTCTTGTGGGGTGAAGATATTCACGGTCTCTCGGAAACGGGCTGTAGTCTGTTTCATTTGCAACAGTGATCATGTTTGCTGCAGTGGAAACCTGGTTTGCAATGCAATCCTATACATATTTACTTGAAAGTGAGCCCTACTGTGCTCAGTGGGTTTTGCTCGCCAGTGTGTGTGTGTTGGGTTGCAGCATAAGTAGAGTTGAATACAGCCTTCGCCAACCTAGTGCCCTCCAGATATTTGGAGCTGTAACACCCTTCAGCTGCAGCCAGCATAATTGCACAGATAGGAATGGTAGTCTGCTGTGTATCAGGAAAACAACACAACACAGCTTAGTTCTGCTACAAACAATGTGGATTCTACATTCCGTTCAAGTTCTTTTATTATTGTATTAAGTCATGTTTAAATGCAGCTGCCTCATCACAGCAAAAAATAAAACAAATAGTGGAATCCAGATCCCTTTTGGCCTGTGACGCAGAGAGGCTGCTTAGGGTCGCTTACAGTTGTGCATATGTGGAGGCCAAGGCCTGCTAGAGGATTTGATGGCTGCTCTGCATGGTCCTTGCCAGTTTCAGTTTCAGTTTCAAAGCCTGGTTAGTATGTGTAAATTTCTCACAGGAGTCCTCACAACCCCTGGGGGGAACTGCTCTTTAGCGCTCAATCGTAGCAAATGGCAATTCAGGTTTTCTCCAGATTAACATTTGCTCAGATTTAGAGTTAAAGAGCAGGTTTTCTTGGGGGACAAGGAGTGGGGCAAGGGAAAAAGGGCAAGTGGAAGTGGGGACAAGCCCCTGAACTGAGCATGGAAGAAACCTAATTATCTGCCAGCAGAAACCACTTCACTTCACTGCATTGTAATGTGGTAATGTGAACATCCCCTTGGGCACTGAAGATGTGCTGCCAGTTAATTTACGGGGCTAGATGGACAACTGAGCTGACCCAGTATACTTCTATTTATTATCAACATTTCTAAAGCACCCTTCATCCAAACAGAACCCAGGGTGCTGTGCAATAACAAAACACCTGCCTATGTTCCCCCTCTTTTAATAGGTGAGTGCATTACATCCATGCCAACTGTTATGGGAATTTTGTTTTAAGATGTAATTATACAAGATGTAGCAGAGGAAAGCAGAGGGAGGGGAGATAGCTCAGTGGCAGAGCAGAACCTTCCACCTCAAGTCCCAGATTCAGCTTGTGCTATTTCCAGTTAAAAGGATCTTAGGTAGCTTGATGGGAAGGCCATTTGCCTGAGGCTCCAACGATCTCCTGCAAGTTGCAACAGATAGTCTTGAGCTTGCTGGATCAAGGCTGTTCATATGACTTTTCTTCCTTTCTTAAGCATGGTATCAGCTGTCCTTACTAACCCTATGAAATCAAACCACTGTCATTCCAGAAAAGGTAGCCATTAAGATTTTGGACAAGACGAAATTAGACCAGAAGACGCAGAGATTACTCTCCCGCGAGATTTCCAGCATGGAGAAGCTGCACCACCCAAACATCATCAGGCTTTATGAGGTCATGGAGACCCTCTCGAAGCTGCACCTGGTGATGGAATATGCCAGTGGAGGGGAGCTATTTGCGAAAATCACGACAGAGGGGAAATTATTGGAAGTGGAGAGTAAGCACATCTTCTCCCAGATTGTGTCTGCTCTTAAGCACATGGTAAGTTCATTATTTTGGTCCCTTCAACAGCTCTGCATTTCCCTGTGTGTGTCCCGCTTTAAAGAGAAGCAGGATTAGTTTGAGATATCCACCAGTCTGTTAGGAGCAATAAAAGAATATTATGTCAACATGGCAAGTGGCTCCAGCTTAGTGAGCCTGCGTATGAACAAACATTTGCTTTGGGTGCTTTTCTGCAGCTTGAGGTACGTTTTGCGTGGAATATCTTTTGTTGGAAACACGTGGCCACCATGGGAGTGCAAGCAGTTTGTGTTTCTGTGCAAGCTCTGCTGTAATGTGTTCAAGGGCTATTTAACAGCTCTGATTTTTCAGGCGTTTGGCCAGAAATGTTGTGATGAGGATCCTATGTGGGTGGGGATTCATTACAGAATAGGAAGAACATACAGGTAGCTTGATAAAGAGCTCTTAACTGCTTAATTGTATTAACATTTAGAGGGCAACTGGGCAGAATGCTGCCTTTGTCCTTTTCTGCATGTCTCCACAAACAAAATGGCTATAAAATTATTGGGATGTGGGAGGCAGGGGAAGAAGGGTTAAATGAAAACTAAACATTCAGGTAGAGGCTTGGAATAGCTTTCAGTGGTCCATACCTTCCTTCTCCTCTTCTGCGGCTACAGCCCTGCTGGTGGTTTTGTACAATAGGCTAGCTAAAATATACTTTCCTTTTAAAAGACTAACCGTTCTTATTTTAAAAGACTTCCACGTTTGCATTTGCAGCACAGTGGAAAACATTTATGAAAGCTAAACATTATTTTTTATTCTTTGTTCTGCAGCATGAGAGCAACATAATTCACCGGGACCTGAAAGCTGAAAACGTATTTTACACCAGTAACACCTGTGTGAAAGTGGGGGATTTTGGATTCAGCACGATAAGTAAAAAAGAGGAAACACTGAACACTTTTTGCGGCTCCCCTCCTTACGCTGCCCCAGAGCTCTTCAGGGACGAAAGCTACGTTGGGGCATATGTGGATATCTGGGCACTCGGAATTCTTCTGTATTTTATGACGACTGGGATGATGCCCTTTCGAGCAGACACAGTGGGCAAACTGAAGAAGACTATTCTCGAGGGCATGTATGTCCTGCCGCCGTTCCTCTCGGAACCTTGCCAGAAGCTGATTCGGGGAATCCTGCAGCCAGTACCGTCGGAACGCTATTCCATTGAGTACATTATGAACAGCGAATGGATGAAAGGAGTGGAGTATCCAAAGCCCCTGGAACCTTTCAAACTGGATCCAAAGTACTTGTCGGGGAGTGGAACACTCGGAGAGGAAGACGCCGAAGTGAAAAAAATATTGAACAATTTGGGGATCACGGAGGAGCACATTCAGAATAACCGCGGGAGAGCTTCCCACAGCTCAGTAACTGGGATCTACCGAATTATTTTGCACAGGGTGCAAAAGAAAAGGGCCGTGGAAACGGTTCATATAATCAGCCAACCAGAATTCAGGGAGCAAGAGTCAAAGAAAGAGCAGTCTACCTATCGCGGCCTCAAACACTCATCTAAGCTCTGTTTGATTTTATAAAAAATGCAGCTGTCTTGGTGTTTGGCAAACTTTGCCGAGACCTCTTTGTCTGTTCTTAGCATTTTTGTAATTTTGAATTAATAAAAAAGATGCCTTAAAATTCCTCATCTAAGATGCACATTCAAGAGTAGACTAGTAAAATGTATTATTTGAGGGCTGTTGAGTTTTTAAGTTCTGCTGCAAGGAATTGGCCTGTAAAATCAGGATAAATGATAAATGTGCAGTGCAATTCCATTATATGTTTAAAGTCACACTGTGTTTAGTGGGGGTTTATTCCCACTCCCAAGTAGATGAACAATTTTAAGTATTGTTATCATGCAGCAAGTCCCAGTAGGACTTCAGAGTAAACATGCTTAGAATTTTGGCTCAGGCTGCTGTCTGGAACTAACACGGTGCATTTCACTTGGGTGAGTTTAGACAGCATGTTAAGGTCTGTTAATATAGGTGAAATCTTGCCTCACATGCATTGAGTAGTGTGGGAATCCTTTAGAAGGTCTTCCTGGTTATGTTTGCATTATAAGTAATAATAGTTAACACTATTATTAAATTTATTACCCTGCCCTTCACTAGTAGGTCCCAGGATAAGTTACAACTATTTAAATTTCAGCATTAAAAACAGTTAAAGGAATTTTCTGTCACAGGAAGAGGGCAAGTCCTGAAAATACACATCTGCAGGCACCTACTGAATAGGACCCATAAATAATATTTTACCCACTGTTTTTCTCCTCCTCCCATGTCTGTAACATTGTGATCTGTGATTTTGCTTTTTTAAGGTTCAACGATGAGTCCTAAAGAGAAATCGTACAATTATAGAGTTGGGCGGGACTGCAAGGGTAATTAAGTCCAACCCCCCTGCAGTGCAGGAAATATTCACCCTGTCCCTTCTAATTCCAGCAGGGTAAGTCTTGGATGTGGAGGCCACTGACAACGCATCTGCTTAATCAGATCTGCCCTCTGGGCAGCCACAGTTCATCCTCCTTGGTTTGGATACAAAGCATAACTACACCAACATGGGCAGTTCAGATAGCTCAGTGTTTATTTTGCAAGGCATCTGCTTCATTACTTTTGAGGTTTATAAACGTTAGACTTGGTGCTGCTGTTTTAAGCCTGTCCATTGCCTGCAATGGACTTGATACATCGCCAGCCTGTGAACAAAACCAAGCTTGGGATCCTCTCCTTTGTTTTATATAGCCACAGCACTTGGCACAAATGGACAAAAAAGTGGTGTAAATCAAACCGTTTTTCCCCAACAAGCTGTATCAAACCTAAGTAATTTGCTTCAAAAAACAAACAAACTACAGAGCCCCCAAACACCGCATCTTGTAACTTAGCACAGTATGCATTAGTTAAGAAGTATTTCACAGCAAAATAAAAACAGGACAAATTGTGTAAGTTTAGTGTAAACACAATGTATTTTACAAGCCAGGAGCTGTCTTTCCCTTTGCTTCCAGTTCATCCAGGCCCACCCAATATACTTGCAATGGCCAAAGCACTTACACTTCAGCAAGTGTGTGATAATAAACAGGACTGTTGTAGAGCAGAACAACTTGCAGGCCAAAGGCACCCCTCACAAGCCCTGAATATGCCCAGCCAGGTTCTCAACACATACCATTTTTTTCCAAGTCTCTGGCAGGTAGCCAACACAGGTCAATTTTAGCAAGCACCCGGCAAGCCATCACACATAGCTGGGGAGCAGTGTTCAACTCAATGGGTCACAAGTTGTTCATGCCTACTCTAAGGTAAGTGCTTTGAGGATTGCAGCCTTTTGAGTACTCCTTGCAGAAGTGAAGTGGAGTTTTAAATATGTTTGAGATATGAAGCTATTTATACACGACCTCAGAGCTACAGCTTGCAGAACCCCACACCACACAGCTAAAACAATCGTGAGGAGCAAAAAGTTCAGGATCAAATCCTGGCTCTTGGGCTGAGCTTTTGCATTTTTGTAGAAGCAGAGTATGGCAAAGCCTGCTCTTAAGCAACCTTTATAAAAGATTACATACAAGAGGTTCAAAAGGAATTAACTTTCCAACTATTTCTAAGTAGCCACCAATAGCACTTTGGGGCAAGAGAGTGTTCTCTCCCCAAATGCATGCACTTCTTAGCTTTGCAAAATGATTTCTGGGAGGTGAGAGGAGCTTTTAATATTATAAGCATACAACTGGAAACCATGTCACAGACCTCCAACTTTCAAGATGGGTTTGAACCAATTAATAGCACCTTGAAAAACAAGCCAATTATCCCCTTTCAAATGCATAGCATGTTTTGAGGGGATGGAACAAGGCTTGTATTTAAAAGACCGGGTGCTTATACTGTTAAGGCACATAGGACCCTAACATTTAAGATAAAATGACTCACAAATAGCTTTAGGTCACATTAATTTTTCTCCATAATGGCTTTAAAAAGTCTCACCTCCACTCTGGATATTAATTCATTAAAATAGAGTAGGGCAAGCACAACTGAAGTCTTCCCAAGCTTAAACTAAACACAAAGATTCTTGTGGCACCTTAAAGATCAAGTGATATATTTTTACAGCATAAGCAACTGTAGACCTAAACTTAAGATGCCAAAAGGCTCTGCTGTCTTTTTTGCTGCAACGAACTAACATGGCTACCCCTCTGTAAATTTAAGTACCTATTCTTGAACCATTTGCTGTTGTTTTAAAACAGTTGTTTTTAGAAAGAGCCCTTGGTCATTTCTGTTCCAAGAAGCTGGCAAACTTTTTTTAGTGTTATTTAACTACGTATCAACAAACTGCATCAAAAGACAGAGCCTCAAGATTAACAGTTTTTCATGCTCCCAACTAAGCAGTACTGTACAGCAAAACATGGGTATTAACAGTTACTCCCGTGTACATCCCCAGCCCTCCCCAACTTTTCCAACTCCCACCTCACAGAGGTCTCTTAATGCTCCCCATTGGAAAGGGAAACAGCAACGGCTTCTGAGTCTGTTTTTGCAGGAATTCTTGGTACTTTCTTGGCAGGGCTCGGGATATGCTGGAAGGGGTGGAGAGGGGGGGGGAAAGCCACAGATTAGAACACATTATTAAAAAGCACAGCTGCCAATTATCTTACTTTAATTTTGTTTCAAGACTCATTGAGAAAGCCCCAGTATTAGGCAACAGTAACTTAGTTCCAAATACTTTGTCCAGACAAATGTCCATTGGAATCTATCCTGCACAATAAGAAGTTTTCAGAGTTGGACACAACATAGGTTATATTTAGATTTCTAGATCCAATTTGAGAACAGCAGCGTTCCCGTCTTAGAAGTTGTTCAAAGAATGTCAGGTTACACAGCAGCCTCCTCCAACCTGCCGGGGCTGTTGGAAATTGTAGTTCCATACACCTGGAAGGCATGAGTTGGAGAACACTGGGTTGAAGATTTGCGTCAATATTATGGAATTTGGTATTCTGTAATGGGGTTGATTACAACAAAATGGACAAGTATCTGAAATGGAGGAATCACTGACAGAAGAAAATCCAAAGAATATCATATCCCAGATTTATAGCGTATCAATCAATTGCAATGATTTTGGTAACTTTCAACAGCAGTATCATGAAACAGTTGGGCGTGTTTTAGAACAGGGGGAAATTCTGCCATTATCCATGTCTAAATGTAATGAAAACCCAATCTACGAAGAGAGATGGGATATGAGGCCACAAAAACTAAGACAGAATTCACAAGGTAAATACTAGTGTCTTGCGTAGTGCCAAGTATTTTTCTTTTTGCATTTTTGGTGTGGTTTCCCTAAAGTTTCTAGATATTGGGACAAGACTGCTGAGGTTACTTGTGAAATTTCATATTACAGGCTTAAAGGATTTAAAAAATATCTTGCTGGAGCTGATAAAATATGTTAGTGTAAGGGAAATACCTGTTATTTTATCAATGACAGCAAAATATTTTGTATGCCTGACAATGGAAGTTGGGCAGAGTGCACAAGGGGTGGAGGGAGAGAGAGAAAGAGATTGACAAACTGCGGAGGTAAGTGGGAGAAGAACCATATAACGTAAGAGCAGGGAAAGAGAGGGGATGTGTGATCTGACAGGGTTTATAGATTACTGAAGATTGTAACTTACTGGAAGAGCAGTTACACATCCGCTACATGTGCTTAATTGTCTGTAATTTAGTTTTGGTAACAAAGAGAAATAAAAAAAGGAAAGGTTAGCAAAGAGCCACCCTTTGCTGTGACTGTTCCACCCATAATGGAGCAGGGAATCATTCTTAAAGAGATTGGAAGCAGACCACATCTTTGAACATTCCCTCCTGGAAGGCATGTTCCCCTCCTTCCCAGGCCCATGTGCACCTTAGCTTCAGTCCATAGGTATGCCAGCACCAACTTTAAACAATAGTTAAGGGTTATTGGTTTCCCTGCTTAACCAGAAACTGAAGAGGGCAGGCAGGGAAACAGGCAGAGGGCCTTCCAGGTAGTGGCGTCCGCCCTGTGGAACGCCTTCCCATCAGATGTCAATGTGATCTCTAACTATACAACTTTTAGAAGACATCTGAAGGCAGCCCTGCATGGGCAGGTTTTTAATGCTTGATGTTTTATTATACTTTTATATCTGTTGGAAGCTGCCCACAGTGGCTGGGGTACTATTATCATTCCACTCAAGCAAGGAAACTGGTAAGCCTAAACAACTGTTCATATCAGTGCCAAGATATCTATGAATCACATTAAAGGTAGATTGGGGTGGGGGTAGTGTTCAATTCTGCGGCCTGCTCCTGATGTCTTTAACCCACAAATAAGGGATCAACGCCATTAGGAGTGCACTAGCCCCTGGATGTTAAAAGGATTAATTAAAGAGACTCTTTACACTTACCTCATGAGCAAGGCCCATATGAACAACTTCCACTCCTGCTTCCAAGGGCCCATCACCCAGCACGGGGCGACGAGCATAGGTTCTTCTGTGTTTTTCATCCACTCGCACCAAGTACCATGTTCCCTCATACAGATCATCCACTGAACATTGTGGAATATAGTTGGCTATAAAAAGACAGAACGCAGAAGCTCTAAATAGACACTTTACTCCTGGTGTTAGCTTAATCTTTGACCTCACTACATACAGAGTCATGCTGGAAAAGTTCTGGTTTCTTTTATCTTGTGCGAGACACACACACCATGAAGGGATTAGTGCTACGTCACATGGAAATGCAGAGAACTGAAGCAAGTTGTGCTTCATCTTCAGATGCTTCAAGGGTATTGGGAAGGCAAGCGCCTTCACTGTCTTCTCTATAAGAAGATGCACAGGAGGCTTGCAACGCTCCCAAAGAAGAATATGAAATGCCTCCACCCCTCCATTATCACACTCTGGTGGAGCTGTGGAAATGGGGCACACAAGACACTTTTGTCAACCACTTCAGTGCTTACAGCACAATTAGATTTTCAGATCCACCATGAAGTTGTTAATCTGAAGACTTGAGAAGTTGAGAACCAGGTCCTGCTGTCCTCTTGATTGCGGTTTTAATTCATGGTTAATTTATAAGCCCATGTTTGGCATGAAAATAAAAGCCTTTTGCCAGTTCAATATGGACAGAGTTACCCAAATATTTCAAGTCAAAGCTGTAACCATCAAGTTGGTTAACATCTCTTACAACAACCAGAAGGCTTGGAAGCCAACTTCATTATTTTAAAAAGGGAAATAAGCTTTCGGGGTCTGCTTTATCATCAACGGTTGCCTAATAGAGGCTATCACTGAATTTATGGCAGACATTTGCCGAACTTAATCCCACCATCGCTTACCTAAGTGATGAGTATCTTGTCTAAGCATCATGTTTTCTGCAAACACCTCTGGCGAGATGCATTTCCTTGAATCGAGCCTTGCCTTCAGATCAGAGAGGCTTGCTGTTATTTTATCCAGAGAAGAGCCTGCAGTAGAAAGCAGTAACTTACATTTTCTAAAAAGAATTATTAGTCCCTTCCAACTCGACAATTCCCTTCCAATTCTATGATTTGACAATGAAGAATACAAGTTAGAAACAGCAGCATCTTGATTTCTTCTTATACCATGAAAGAGTGGGAGCTATTTTTCCAACATAACCCTCCTGTAATATAGCTAGCTGTAGTAAAAGTTCATTAATTGTTATATCAAGACATAGCACACCCTTTCCTAAGTTCTCAAAACCTCATAAGAGGCCAGAGATGAGGCCAGATCTGTTGTAGCCCAGGAACACCTGGGCAGCAAATCCCTAACCACTGGCACCCAATAACTGTCAGTGACACACTAACTTTAGAAGTGGTTGTGTATAGGAAACCTTGGTGATTTTACTCACCAGGGGTTGCATCTTGGCTAACTTTGATGGAGTAGAGGGTAGCAGCAAACCCAGAGCCGTAAGAGAAGACTCCAATCCTCTGTCCTGCCAGTTGCTGAGGAGAATACCTGCACACCAGAGAACAAGGTGTTAGTGAAAAGCACATTAGAGAAGATTAATACACAAATATTTTGTGATTATTTGTCTAAAAAGATTTAGTTGGCTTGTTCCTAGATTAATGAAACCTGGGGCACATAGAACGCTTTCTTCCCCCTTCATCCCCAATCTCAGTGCCAGCAGCTCTAGGTAATAAGCTGTCTCCATCCTGTACTGCCTTCAATCATTTCCTCTCTTTCTGCTAAAGCGAAACCACTGGCCATGTAATTATCTTCAAACATATAGGAGTTTAGCTGAAGGCTATTGGTTCTGCCTCAAGTCAAAGATTACCAGTGTTCAGACTCTTCCCTCTTTCTTCAGCTGCAAAGCCTGGACTTGCACAAGTGAGTTATGCCAAGTAACTTCTGGTACATGTGAATACTAAGGAAATGCAGAATCTGGCTACAAAGATACACAGATGTTGATAAAACAGGTGTGCTAGTCTTGGTTTGTTTGAAGCAGCAACAGCAGCGTGGAGTGTGTCTTATCAAAAGCACACAGATATTCTGCGAACTTAAGATTGTTCATGAAGCGTGGAGTGTGTCCTATCAAAAGCACACAGATATTCTGCGAACTTAAGATTGTTCATGAAGCAGCTTAGTAGCCACAGTTCCTACTGCTGTCTGCCCAATATAGGTAGTTGCCACCTATATTGTTGGAGAAGTTTTAATCTACAATTAAGTCACCTTCGTGCTTTAAATTTTGTCATTCAGCTCAAATATACGGTTACAATTGTCACAGACTTTTCAACAACTTTGTACATCACCTTTAGATAGTGTTTAATTAGTTTTAAAAGACAAGAAGCAGCAAGGTTCAGCACTGCTTGGTAGTTGCACTCATATCTGGGAATAATTTCCTTCTGAAGTGTGGTGTTAAAGTTGGTCAGTGAAGAAGGGAAGGCACCCTGTGCATGCTCAAAGGCACTCTGCTTTTTACTAATTCACAGGAAGAATGTGGAGCTGAGCCATTGCCTAAAGCAAGCCAGTCCTTTAGGAATCTGATACCCAACGTCAGTCAGATAATTATACAAACACCTCAAACCCAGCTTCAGATCCTTCCTTCATACTTACTGTGCTAGGATAGAAGCAAGGCAGCCATAGACAGAAGGCGTGTACATATTTCCATTCTGATTGGATACAAGCAAGGAAGCTTTGGTTTTCTGATTGAAAATTTCAGCACTGGCCTTCATAAAAGCTTTTTCCACATCACGGTCAAAGTAGGTGTCTTCTAGTTTTACATCTCTGAAGATAGCAAGGGGAGCATTTAGAAGAAAAACTAGTAACTTGAAAGACTACTAGAGCAGAAGGCTATGAAACCTATAAACATGCCACATCTGCTCTATTTAATTTCTAAAGTTATCCTGGGTTGTTGTTTTTTTAAGGCACCCAGATTGTGCTACACAAGACATCACTTTTCCTTCAGTCATGCCTATTTCAATTTGATATAGCCAATTTATTATACTGAAGAACATGCACAATTTTAACTTGATGTCACACACTGCAATATTTAGTTCCAATACTAACTTTCACATTGGCCGTGTTCAGGCAATAGTGAAGGAGCTGCTCCTCTCCTTCTGTTCTCAATGTGCCTCAGTGCAATGTAAAAGTCTATAAAACCATTGTTTCCATTTTTTTTTCTAAACCAGAAACTTTGGTTACAACCTTTGAACATTAAGAGACACCTACTGGATCAGGCTGATGGCCCATCTGATCCCGTACAGTGGTGCCCCGCAAGACGAATGCCTCGCAAGACGAAAAACTCGCTAGACGAAAGGGTTTTGCGTTTTTTGAGTCGTTCCGCAAGACGAATTTCCCTATGGGCTTGCTTCGCAAGACAAAACGTCTTGCGAGTTCTTGCGAGTTTGTTTCCTTTTTCTTAAAGCCGCTAAGCCGTTAATAGCCCCTAAGCCGCTAACAGCCGCTAATAGCCGTGCTTCGCAAGACGAAAAAACTGCAAGACGAAGAGACTCGCGCAACGGATTAATTTCGTCTTACGAGGCACCACTGTATTCTGTTCTCAAATGGCCCGCCAGATGCCTGTGGGAAGCCTACAAAACAGGGCATGAGTGCAATAGCCCTCTTCTGTTCACAATCCCCAGCAACTGGTATTCAGAGGCATATTGCTTCAGATCCTGAAGGTAACATAGCCGCTGACAGCCTTGTCCTATCATCAGTTTGTCTAATCCCCTTTAAAGACTTCCAAGTTGGGAGCAAGCCAATGTGCTATGTGCTATGTGAAGAGTTCTTCCTTCTGCTTGCCTTGTATCTTACAAACTTCAGGATCATTGTGTGTTATGAAAGCAGTATTTGCTTTCTCCATACCATACATAACTCTACACACCTCTTTCATGTTTGCCCCACCCTTACTGACCTTTTCCCTAAACTAAGAAGCTTCAAAGGTTGCAACTTTTCTTCACAGAAGAGATGTTTCAGTCCCTTGTTCAGTTTGGTTGACCCTTTCTAACACCTTTTCTAGCTCTTCAATATCCTTTGAGAAGAAGCTGGGATCTTAAACTTTAAACCATGTTTTTAAAATGCTAGCTTGTCTTGCAGCCAGTATCCAGGGATTCCCCATGTTTGGTCCAAAATGGAAACACTGGTTTTGCAGACTTTCCACAATGCATTCAGTCATATGGAGAAGGGGGGAGAGAAATAGTTGTGTGTGTAAATGAAAGCCCCATTCGCCTATCAGCTTATTATACAATCATCCAAACAAGGCCAAGAAATGTGTTAGCCTTGATTGTGCATTTGCTGCAACAGAATAAGATAGCAAAAGAGAGTCACTTACTAAGAAGTAAATTCCACACATGGACTTACTTCCAAGTAATGGTGATTAGGATTAAGCTACACCGTAGAATAACCTTATCCTCTTTGGGTTCCCCAGGCTATCTTCACATATTAAAATCAAGCTAATTGCTCTCAGTTTGTTGACTATTGTTAAAAAATCAACCTAGTGATATGTTCTTTTCCACCTAATTTTTTCCAAGAAATCTTTGCATAGGATGAACCTTATCAAGACAAAGTTTCAGGCAGCTATGAAAGGGCATTCCAGATCCACTCCCTTAAATTTTAAGAGCTGTATAAAAAATATCATACATAAAATAGATCAATGTCAGCTATAGAACTATTTCCAGATACAAGTTTATGGATGCTTCGTAATGTCTCTCTTGTACTGAAGAATTTTTTTATTTACCTAAAAGCTTCCAGGCCACTATAGATGCCATTTTCTTTTGTGGGTGTCTGATCATTCAGAAAGTCATTCAGCAACAGACGAGCTACAGATTTCTGTACAAGTTTGCAGTATGGAGAGTGAAAGATCATGAAACCGAAGTCATTCAGGGTGAAGTCTTTGTCAACTCCCTCTGAAATAAAAAAAGAAACAGGACATGGATGCTATTCTGCCTAAGTCCTATGTACACTTACTTGGGAGAAAGAACTACTGAACACAGTAAAGCTTATTTCCAAGTAAACAAGCAAAAGATCAGGCGACAAGTTTTAACATTTGTGTATTCTTATTTCTGCAATATGAAATTCGTTTTATACCACCTTTTATTTAAAATCCCAACTAAATTTGGGATACACTGCTCTCCTGAACCAGCAGCAGAATTCTGTGCAGTCGTTTGCCATAACTGGCAGAATGATTTTTAAGTCTGTGACAGTTTTCCAAATTCTGTGGAAGAGGACAGGATCCAAGAAAATAGGGGGGAAAGAAACACCTTGATTCTGCAATGGTACTTTCTAGCAAGACATACCTTTCTGCCACTGAGCATGGATTTTTTTGCGATAGACAGTGTAGCAGCGATCTAATGCACTGAGGTAGCATTGTATGGACAGTTTCCCATCAACCACAGGATACTCAGATACCATATCAGGCTTATAGAAATCATAGGCATGCTGCATGTGGGTCCCTCGCAATCCTAGGGAAAAGAAGCCAGATTTGAAAGAGATGCTGCAGTGAAGTCCATTAATAAGGTACTCTTCTTACCTCAAAACATGACTGACATCCCTTTTAAAATGTGGGGGTTTTTTGGGGGGGGGTATACTGTGTTGTTGTTTTTATTTTGATTAGGTTGTGGTTTTATATTTTGATTTTATTCTGTGAACCACCCTGATACCTCTGGACATAGGGCAGTATATAAATTCAATAAATCATAATAAAAAAATAAGATGCACTTTGTACAACCAAAGATTAATCTGGTGGATGTGGGAGGTGGTGGTGAACAGAAAAGTTATTCCACTTCCCAATGTGATCAGGAAAAAGAATACTAGAATACTAAATGCCGAGCAGTACAGATAGCTATTTGTTAATATTTTAACAGGCTGATGTTCCAGGCAGCTCACTTGCAGAGATTACTGCTCACATAAGCAGTCTACTCATGTGAGCTGCAGAGGAGTGAACACATGCAGGTTTATGGCTTTCATTCTGTGATCTGGAAAATTGCTTAATTTTCCTCATAAGGGCAAACCAACATAGTTCGCAATCTAGGAAAAGGCGATCTAGCACTAGCTTGCTCTTGTGGCATTTCACAAGTGAAGAATGCTTGTATAAGCTGTTCATTTGAACTAAAATACTGCTGGAATCTGCTCTATGAATAATATTTAGTCTGCAAGAGAAAACTAACCTCTCTCAAAAATAAGAGGTGCATTTGGTCCCACAAGCATAGCAACAGCACCGGCTCCTCCAGTTGGCCTGGCATTTCCAGTGGCATACACTGCTATGTCTCCAGCAACAACAAGTGCATAACGCCCTGAAAAACACAAACAAATGCTGTAAAAAGGCTGCATAAAAGTCATTTTTAGCTGAGGCAACTGCTGACTACATTGACTGCAATGCTATATATACATGCACTTGGAAGCAAATCCCTTAACAGTAAGCCCTACAGAATTCAAAGTAAATATGCAGAGAATTGGGCTGCGTGGTCACTGGGGAAAAGATTACAAGAAGTCAATCTTAAACTCCCACAGCCACCAATTAACATGTACAATACTTAATGCATACAAAGTTCTTCTCACACAATTCTATTTGTCATACAAACATCCTGTTAAGCAGATCATTTCTGAGCAAGGAACAAAATTGAGGGCAATTGCAGATGGGCAGCTTAGGAGTCACCAGAAAGTTTGGAAAGAGGAGGGGAAAGGTTCCAATTAGCATAAGCATTGAATGCTACAGTCACTGATTCAAAGTATGTTATCCAACCTGATTCCACCAGCTAGTTTGCATTGCAACCAATAGTATGATCAGTACAGATGAGTGAAGTGCTGGCTCAGTACAAGAAACTATTAATAGGTTTAGTGGGATATGGGCTCATTTTCACAGGCCAATTGTATTCCTGCTAAATCTTACTCCCCTGCTTGGTATTTGCAAAGGATCACTGCCCTCGGCCTTTTTTTTACTTCTGAACACTAATATGGTTTCCTCTTGTAATATTCACTAAGCATGAATGAGCATAATGGACTAGGAATTAGCTTTTATCAAGCCCTCCTGAAATCACAAGAACATGACAGCCAGGACTTCATAGTCCTGAAGTGACTATTATTTACAGGATTACATTTAATAACATTTAAATTCCATATCTCTGCATGCCTTGTCTTTCTTTCTTTCTTTCTTTCTTTCTTTCTTTCTTTCTTTCTTTCTTTCTTTCTTTCTTTCTTCCTTTCCTTTCCTTTCCTTTTTTTGGCAAATTCTAAGAAACACTGCTTGCTTGAGATGTCAAACTTACCGTCCCAGGAACTGGATTCAACCCAGTTGATAGCATTGAAGAGTGCAGCAGTGCCACCATAGCATGCATTGGTTGTGTCAATGCCTTCCACGTCTGTGTTGCCAGATTCTTCAAAAAGCTGCATCAGGACAGTCTTTACTGATTTGGACTTGTCAATGATCGTCTCCGTTCCAACTTCAAGTCTCCCAATGCAGTTGTAGGAGAGACTGTTCCTTTCCATAAGCTTCTGGACTGCAGTGAGGCAAAGTGAATTGATATCCTCCCTATCCGAGCAGAAGCCCATCTTGGACTGACCCAAGCCAATGGTGTATTTCCCTGCATCCACGCCATCAAACTTCTCTAACTCTGCCTGGTCAACATATTGGGAAGGGAAGTAGATCTCCAAAGCAACTATTCCCACATCTTTTGGCCAGCAGGCTTCAGCATTCACAGGAAGAGATCCAGGCATGGTGGTACAGCTGAAAGAAAAGAAGTTAATAGTGCTTATTTGAATAGAGTGAGCAAAGCTTGATCCTGTGCATGCTTACTTAGATTCAAGTACCAATGCATTCATTGAGGCTTACTGAAAGCACAAGGGCTGGAGATTAAATGTTTTGATAAAATATTTTGACTCACAAGCAGTCCAACAACTAATAGGGCAATGGTCATAAAAGCAGGTACACAGAATAACAGAATTAGAAGTGAATCCAAAGGTCATCTAGTCCAACCCCTCAAAGCAGGAAAGACACCTGGCAGAGTGTTCAAAGTAGGAAAAGCTACTTGGGAGCAGGAGAGGAATCTGACAGTTACACTATAGTCTGCACAGCTGCAATTCTGCCCACACCAATCACTGATTTTAAAGAGACCAGGGCTACAGCTGCTATCCCAAGCACATTTTAACAAATTGCCATGTATGTAGAACTGGAGCAGAGCTATTTTATCCCAACCTCTGCTGTCCAGCTGATATATAGGGCATTATTAGCTCACACTACAAGTCTGTATTTGCAACTGTACTATTCAGATTGAGAAGATATCTTACGTCAGACACTCCCAAACCAATTTAGACAAGTAAGTAGTCTTCTAGTGGGGAACAACACTGTGTACAGCCCCATAACCACAGACATTCCAACCGCAGCAATGAGGCCATGCCTTTCTAGTCAGTGTTTTAAAAAACACTGCACCACCAGGGTCCTCTTGTCTCTGTGTTACATAGAATAGAATCTTGGTTAACCTCATTATACCATCTACTGGCAGTTAACCCGCCAAATGAAGAAAAAACAGCAATCTGACTGTTGCAGAAAGGGGAGGGGAATAAAGGCTTGCAGCTGCTCCCTAAAAGTAATACTGTATAAACCCATCCCTTTGTAATGAACTGTGGAGCAGCCTTTCAGATTTGAACAGCAACTGAAAATCATATGGTATCTGCATGAGCATGTATTTTGTTCTTTCCCAACTGCGAAGCTTGGAGGCAGAGGAAAAATGCCAAGAATATTCCATATGAAGTTGACCTAAACTGAGTGAGACCACTGTTCCATTTACCTAGAAAAGTATACTCCAGGGATAGGGAACCCATGACCATCCATGGGAGTTGTAATCCAACTTCAGTTAGTGAACCAGAGCTTCCCTATCCCTGGACCACTCCAACTGACAGAGGCTTTCCAAGGTCTCAAAAAGGGTTTCCCTACCCCCACCCCCAGTCCAACCACTGAAGAAAGTCATTCATTCACAGACTGGGGGTGAATTGGGGACATTCAGCATGTACAGATCTTTTTACTGGACACCAAAGAGATTCTGAAGGAGTAAAGCAACATGTACCAGTAGTCTTGCGTAATTATTTTGAATGGCAAATCCAGACATGATCTTTATCTACAAACATGGAACATCCTGTATGAAATGCAAACTTCAAAGAACTGCCAAATGGATAGGAGACAAAAGGCGTATCATCCAATGCGGTATTGGAATGAAGAGAACTTTATTTCAAGTGGGTAGATCATGTAAATTCCTTACGGCAATAGAAATCCTAACAAAGATAAAGCGAAGAGGCAGGTAGGCAGCTGAAAGTAATGGGTAGAACTCTTTACCCTGCATGACTTCTGGGGCTCCCCTTCTGTGGACAGTGATTGTTCTGCAGACTGGAACCCACAAGAGGAACACCAACTCTGTCCCAGTGCCCATCTGCCTCATCCAACATGCATACAATGGTGCAGAAATTTGTAGCACGTGCTTGGAACATTCAAATGCACACCCTAGTTGTATGGGACACCACACACAGCTCGCACCACTTTGCAAATGAAGTATGGAGACTTGGGAATAGGAACGCCAGAAGGAAAAATCTGTGTTATTGAATTAATTCTTGCAGATTTAATAGTCTTATATTATTGTTTTGACTAGTTTTCAGATTTTTAAGTATGTCTTTTAAAATATTGAATATTAGGGTAATAACTTCTTTGTCATAATAACTTTTTAATACTATTTGGAACCTAATAACTGTTAATTCCTACTGTTAATTCAAGACTGGCAGAAGGAAGAACTGATCCACGCAGTACATAACTTACAGAATTTGCTGCAACAAGATGTGGCCATGAGTTTTCTAAAAAAGAATCATGGTTGTGGGTTCGATCCCCATACAGGCCACCTGCGTATTCCTGCATTGCAAGGGGCTGGACTAGATGATTCCCAGGATCCCTTCCAACTCTACAATCCTATGGTTTTGATTTTAAATTCAGAGATTAGACAAATTTTATAGAGGTCAGTCTAATCAATGATTATTGGCCCAAACAGCTTGTTACTTGCTGATGGATCATGGGGATAAACATACCACATACAAGGTTTCTATGTTTGCTTTCACAGCCCAATAGTTTATACAAAATTTCATTGCACTGGGTCCAGTGTGCTGGGGACCACTTATGCTACAATGAAGCTCAGCCTAGCTGTTTGAATTTTTGTGTTCAATGGTTTTTAGAAAATGAGTTTAACAGATCAACTGACAAAGCTAAGTGGAACCTCCAGATTCAAAGGCAGTATCTCTCTGAAAATTAATTGCTGGGAAACAAGAGCAGGGCAGGGCCTGCTACCTACACGTCAGCACCACACTCTAACCATCTGAGTTAAGTCAAGCCCCAGTTGTGGAAAACGGAGTTGTTGAAAAAACAACCTTCATAATCAATGACAACTTAAGAAGAAAACAAAGTAATATGGAGTCATGACTCTGAACATCCACAAAGATAGCAGTCATTTGCCTGCAGTATCAGCTTCTTCTTGGCCAGTAGTTTGCCAAACCATTCCTCATATCCATTATGAAAATGTACCATTGTAGAATGGTTGAAATGGTTGAAATTAATGTCATCAAATCACCCCACCAGTAATAAAAATGCCCAATAATGCAGCAAAACCTGGTTTCTTTCTCCATCTGAAAAGAAGATTGAAACTCTTCCTGACTCATGCATTCTTTAACTAAAAACTAGTAATTTGAGAATGCCCAACATCCTGCAGAACAAAAACACAACACAGAAACCATCTCAGCCATCCAATCAGTTGCTCACCTACAACCAGCAGTACTCCAAGACAGCCCTTTGCTACAGCCCTCCATTGGCACCAATCTCTGAGAAGATTGGTGATGGCTTTTAAACACAGCCCTTGCTAGGGAGGTGTATGCTCCTCCCAAGCGAGTCTCCATTGGGCAAAAGGCAGAATGATGCCTACTAAATTTACCTGATTTGTGCTTGTCTTGGTTTGACATGGTCTTAATCTTACCAGCTCTCCATTCTTTTTGTGCTGCTTACCTCCAACCCACAGAAAATAGCAACTATCAGACAAAACAATCTACTCACTCTTAGAAAGTTTATACAATGCTCTGCTGACTAAGGACCCAAAACAACAGTTTGACAGCCTCTCCAGGAACGAGGATTGACAATTGGCAACTGCCAGATATCACACTGCCGAAGTTAACACTACATGTTCCTCAGTGCCATATGACCACTGAAAAAGTGTGTCTGAGTTTCAGACTGGTAGTATCACAGCAAATCTGCTTCACTGGTGTGTCCTGCAGGAAAAAACAGTGAGTCGCACTCACTGCCTGCTTCAATATGTATACACAAGAATCCCTTTATCAGTGGTTTGGGTCTCTTAGGGGGCAAACGACTGCATTGGAGCTATGTTGCAAAAGACGAAACAAATCCCTTCACAAACCGAAAATCTAATTGGAAAACAACTGTTTATATCAATTATCTCTACTATCCTGAGTCACTTCAGATAATATTTTGTTACGAAACAAACAAATATAAAAATAAAATCTGAAGCCCACACAAGCAGCAGATCATTCAACTATCCACATCATAGCCCTAAATACCAGAAGCCTGCCTGGATCATCAAGTTTCATATCCAGATACAACAAGCCCTAGCAACGCCACAATTATGGCAGAAAGCACAGAAGTGTGGCAGTCATTTGCCACGTATGTTATGTTTAAAAAAGAAAAATGTGGCTATCTATGTTACTGGAAGGATACCTGTGCATACATGACAGAAATACAACTGGTGAACCCTTCTTCCACTGCGAAGGAAATCTCCTCCAATCAAATGTCAGTTGGCTGCTAAAACCAGAGAAGGGCAGGTAACAGGCACAATGAAAACACGAACACAGTGGGGATTGCTTCCAAGTAAACACACACACACACAAGCACACCGTGAGGCTTTTTTTTTGTGGGGAGGGGGAGCAAAAAGCTTGGCAGCATGTCACATGCTTAAGGTCTCCAGTGCAGAGTTGGAAGGGACCGCAAGGATCATCTAGTCCAACCCGCTGCACCCAGCTGAACCCCAAGAGCGCTGTTGCCAGTCAGTGCAGGAAAACACTGAGCTGGGCGGATCAATGGCCCAACTAGACAAGGCAGAAAGGGGAATCGGGAAGGAAAGAAGCCTCTCCCCACCCACACCCACCCTGAATTATCCCAGAGAGCTCTGTAACTCCACTTCCATGGTAAGGGACCCTTTGCCTCAGTTTCCCTGTCAGGCAGTCAGAGCACCCTCCCACCCGTATAACTGAAAGGGCAGTGGCAGGTCCCATTTTCCTTATGACCCCCACTCCACCTCACCCCTAGGCCTCAAGTAGCCAGATAATAGCTTCAATTCGCAACTGAGGCCTCAGTTTCCCTGTCAGGCAGAGCGGCCGCACTTCCCTCAGATAAGCCACCCAGATGAAAGTCCCCACCACCACATCTCTCAGGAAACACCGGGGCAGAAGCTTCCGCGTCCTCACCGAGGTCAAGGCCGGCGCGGTTCGCCCCTTCCCCCCCCCCCCCCAGCCGCGCTTCACTCACACGCAGTGAAACCCCATCACCGGCTCCGGACGGCACCGGGTCGGCCCAGCGCGCATGCGCTCCTCGTGGCGGGCCCTCTGGCTCCAACCTGCCGCTGTCACCTTGAAAACGCCGCGCCCACTTCCCCCTTCATTCTGACGCGCCTGAGCAAGCCACGCCCCTGCCTGGCTCGAGGGCGTTCTGCGCTCGCGCGCCCCCTCACTCCGCCGAGCGAAGGCAACGGAGGAGCCCGAGTCGCCGCCGCCTTTTCCTGGGGCTACTACTAGGCGTTCGCTTCTGAGAAGCGGCGCACGGATGTGTAGGCGGGCGGCGGCGGCTGCCGAGGACGATACGAAACCAGCACACAGGGAATACGTGGGAAGGAGGGAGGGGAAGTCCCTGCCTCCGAGGTCGCGCACGGGGACCTTTCACACGTGACGCAGGGCAAACCCGGATCGGCACCTCAAAATGTAGGCAGCGCCTCCTCTGCGTGTACTGGAACATAAAAAATGGTGTCTTGTGAAGGACAGCCGCCTTTAGTTACTTTGCCATGAGCTGAGCTAGAACTCCTACTGTGTATTCAAAGAAACAAGCACGCACACAACCCCCTGCCACTATGTTTGCCATATTCAGACGTATCACAAACACACCCCTGCCGCTGAAGTTTCTTGACCTCAGTATTAAGCGGGAGCATGGCAGCAGAGCAGGGATGGGGAACCCGCGACTCCAGTTATTTATCTAGAATATGTCATACTGGCCTTTCATCAAAAGGCCCTAGGGAGGGTTGCAACAGGACTATTGCCGCTTCCATCATCCATGAGCCATGGATGTTGGGAGTTGGAAGTCCCACTTGAGGCGGGCACAGGTTTCTCCCTGTAAAATTACATGAAAAATATTAAAATATTTTTAAAAATCTGATTTCCGTTTGGCAGACCTACAGATTTATAGAAGGGGCATATTACAATATAATTGTTCTATTATTATCCCAAAAGGGGAGGTTTCTACACCAACCAGAAGGACATGCTTAAATGTTACAGTGCAAATGGGCCTCTCGTTGGAATGTCTAGGCCTAGGCGGTGAGAAAGTTAAGAGCAAGGTTGAATGTGTGTTATTCTGGCCCCAGACTGAAGACAAGGAGGCGAGTTGAAAGGGAGGAGGGTAATGCAGGAGACAAAGCCCCATTTTATTGCTACTAGTATAAATCACATGTTTTACATTTGAACACGTGTCGAGGTTCATGGCGTGGAAAGGCTGGTGCAGGAAGAAAGGGGGGCAAGCCCATGTAAGGACATAGGAAGTTGCCATAACTTTCAGTTTACAAGAAATCAGGTGGCTTACAAGAGATCAGGTGGTATTCTATTCTGCAAATCTATATAAAGGGGGCGCACCCTGACTGGGTGTGCAGGTTGCATACTTATCGCCCTGTACCTTTGTTCTGCATATGCACTTAAAATAAAATCCTGTTAATAACCTGCAAGGACGTTTTGCTGCTTTGTGTGAATCTGTGCTTCAGGGACCCAATAGCAGATGTGGTTGGTCCTTCATTATTACTTGAGCTGTGGCTGAAATTATAATTCCTGAGAGGTCACTTTATGAAATAAATGGGGATTCTTTCAAGCTACATAGCTGGCTAAAGAGGGATGAATTTCAATAGAGGTGACCGATGTGCAGAGCTTTGTTTTGTAAGCTTGCTGCTTTGCAGTAATAAGGCGAGATGACTGTGAAATATCCTACTTGTAGAAGGGTCACTTTAGAACACCTTTAAAAAAATGTATTACCATGAGCAATTAGAAGATTGAAACTGATATATGAGCAACAGCCTGAATTCTGCAAATTTCCTTTCCAGGAAATCATTAAGCAATTGACTTAATCTACTTATACTATGCCAATCAGAACATCTAGTACATATTCTGTGGTTGGGGTTTTAAGGAAAGGAATATGTATGTGTAAAAGAATTATGCAATTTTCCCTTCCCATCTTTGGCAAGAACCAAACATCGTTGTAGAAGCTTAATGCACTGTTTCATGTAAATAGCCTAGCTAGAGGTTGTTGATGACTCTGTAAGCATAGTAATCCTGTTAATAATTTAATTGATAAATTTTATTATTGCCTTTAATCATACGGTCTCAGGGCATGTTACAGCAATTTTAAAACACCATGTTCAGGCATGCGTCTTTTCCACAAAAAGGTTTGGGGCTATGGGCCACCACCCTTGTATTCACTTTGTCTTCCAATCACAGCAACTTGTAATAAAAAGGTTGAGTGTGGCTCAGGCAGTGAATCCACTGCGATAGGAAGCAGTGCCCTAGCGACATCCTCACCAAGATACTATGGAAGAACTTTTAGCGAGTGGCTAAGGTTTATCCTTGCCCAGCCTGGTGCGTTCCATATATGCTTTGGACTACAACCCATCAATTCCAGCCAACACAACAGGGGTAGGTTGAGCTTTGGGCTGTGAATATTTCTTTTGTCTCCTACTCCCAGCTTGCATCTCTCCCCCCGCCCCTCATCCGCCAGGAATTTCTTCTACAGGCTTGTTCTAATGATACCCAATTCATATGCCCATCAGACACATGGGAAAGCCTAAAGAAGTTTGTTCCCAAGCTGTAGTGTCCTGCCCCGTCCCTCCACCGTCGAATGCAGCATTTTGCTTTTCTACTTATCCCATAAATGCTTAGAATGCATTGTAGAGCCACTTCAAGCATCAGTTACACCAGGGAACAGTTAAGAAAGGAAATGTTTAAAATAAATAAAAGGAATGGAAATAGAATAATCAGGCCAAAGCAAAACTAGCACATGACTTGAGATTGCCACAAGTTGGTAAACAGTATGCACAAGCTGTTGACATAGCTACCAAGTGCCCAGAAAATGCTCACATGCATCTTTCAAGTATGCTAAAGGCCTGGACAAGAGAGAGCAGACAAGTCATAGAATCATAGAATCATAGAGTTGGAAGAGACCACAAGGGCCATCGAGTCCAACCCCCTGCCAAGCAGGATACACCATCAGAGCACTCCTGACATATGGTTGTCAAGCCTCTGCTTAAAGACCTCCAAAGAAGGAGACTCCACCACACTCCTTGGCAGCAAATTCCACTGTCGAACAGCTCTTACTGTCAGGAAGTTCTTCCTAATGTCCACTTCTGTTCACATAACCATAAAAATCATTAACAACTGTGAAGGGCCATTAGTCATCATTTGCTAACTTACTGTAAGCTCTGCTGCTCCAGAAGTACTTGGTGTTCAAAGATTTTGTACATCTCAAAATCTAGCACTAAAAACAGCCACAAGGCGTCACTGTCTCACAACCACAAGGGTCACTATATATCTACGAGCAAACCTGGCAAGACCTTCTCTCCCCCAGATGTAGAATCTGAAAGCCTAAGCAGCCATCGTTTCCTTTTCTTCATGAGAGTTGGGAAAGCTCCACCCCAGCCTGGGGTAGTCACTGTCCACAACCTGCATTGCTATGTTGTCAGACTACATTGCTCATAGTTTGAGCCTGGCTTACAGCAGCAATGGCAGCCTCAGGCGAGTGGACATGTCCTGCAGCTTATTTTTTACTGGTTTCCCCCACTTCTTCACCCAGAGGCGTCAGGAGCCCACACGGGGAAATCCAACCCTATGAAAGCGAGGCTCTTACAAAACCTCCCTGCTGCCAGACCTGAAACAATTCAGAGAGGCATTTTCATCTACTTGCAGCTCACGTTTTTAGGCAGCAGCAGAATACTTCTGAGCCAAACAAGGAAGAACTGTATGCAGTCCAATTTCTCTAGTCATCTCAGGGAAAGGGGGGGGGGGGAGGAGGAGAGAATGAGGACACATTAAGAGAAGCATTTTCAGAAGAGAAACTTTCAATTTCTGAGCTGCCAGCTGCAGCAAAACACAAATTTTAGCAAGAAAAAAATTACATGGAAAGACAAAAAAAAAGCATCATCCTCAAAGCTAGAAAGCCTCTTGAAGTTTCAGGTTTATGCCAGAATAAATCTACTAGGCACAACACAGCATCCATTTTCCTTCTTGTCCTACAGGCAGGCTACCCTCAGGGGGAAAATCTCAAGAGGCACTTGCTGTCCCAATGTACTTCAGAGGCTGATACAAGAATGCCTCGGGCTTTCAAAACCAAACAATACAATGAAATCATGATGAAATACTAAGGCATGCTAGATGATCAGTCAAAAAACAGACTACATGGTACAGAAAGATTAAATAGCTAAACAAAGAAACTGAAGGCATTTTTTCACCTTGGTGGACGCCCAAAATATTTGGCTTCTTGTAGATGATATATAATGAATCCAAAAAGGCACTTAAATATGCCTCTTGAAGAAATCAGAGCTCCTTTCTCCTCCTGGGCATAGTCAACTCTGTGTTAAAAAGGACAGAACTTTCTTTATGTATGCTACAACAGCAGCAAGAATACCATTGCAAAGTATTGAAGACACAAGATCTACTCACACCTGAGAACATGAATAAACATGACCATGTGGAATTGCTGAAATGATCATGAATCCGCACCAGGAGAAGAGTCGGTGAAGAAGATTGGAAGTAATCTAAAGACTATTTACAGAAATATTGCAAAATTAATGAATGTTAGAATGATGATTGAATCATTTTTAGCTGTACAGGCACAAAAATATTATGGAAAAATTGGTTTTTAATATGTAAATGTAATGTTATTATATCAAGATTAAAGACCAGGATTAAAAGGAGGAAGAATTGTTAATAACATATTTAATTAGAATACAGAGGGAGGTAAGAGAGGTCCTGAAATAAGAACGCAAAAGAAGCAAGAAAGATGAAATTGTTAAATTGTTTTTTCTTTTTACTTTGTATTTTTTCTTTTTATTGTTAACTTTTTCTTTACTAATGTGGTTTTTTTTATTTGTTTTTCCTGTGAAACTTTAATAAATATTATTTAAAAAAAAACAAAAACAGAAAGATTAAATGGGCAGGTACCTCCTGAAAACTGGAGGTACACTGAGCACAAAATCCATTAAAAAAATGACAATGACATCACCTACTCTGTCTAGTAAAGATCAGTGTCCAAAGAAGAAGAGCAACAGGGTGCATGACGCAACCACAACTACGCAGACCCACGGATTTAATTGGTAGCGATAGAACTCTTTCCACTGTGATCAGAGACTTTGCTGTAACTAGATGAAGCCAATCAATTTTTTGAAAAAAACAAACAAGCCACACCTGATAAATGCTCTGCCCTTACTTTAAAACTCAGCATAGCAGTGATCCTAGGAATTTAACAACATATTGGCCTCCCTATGGCATTCTGTGGAAACAGGAGGTCACAACCCAACACAAAAGTGGAACACTTCACAAATTTGCATATCCTTGCGCACCAGTCTCCATGGACATCCCTCGGAAAAATCTGTTAAGATGGACCGTGGAATCATTAAGCAAGCTCTTTTAGTTTAAAGCCCAGCAAGTTCAATGGGACTTACTTTTTGTGTTGTGTGTAGAGGATTTTATCCTTATACTTAGTCCTTACAAACCGCAGAGGTGGTATTCTGTGTCTGACTATACCACTTTAGACTTGCAGGCAGCGACTTGTGAGATGGAACATGCCTAGAAGCAAAAAACCCCTGACATATCTGAAAGAGGACTCTCTGCTAGAAGTATTTTCCCCAAGATCAATTCCTCCCCTTTTTAATGCAGGGATTTATTAAAAAAAAAATAAATCCTAGGGAAGATAACTGCAGACAGAAGTGGGCAATTTAACACCAGCAGGCATACTTGCCAACTCCTAATCCAGTTCTGGTCCTTGGTCAATATGCACACTGAAGAAAGCACACGTGGCCATTTTTAATGCTATAGAAGAGAGGCATTCAGTGTGGCACCTGCCAGATCCTATGAACTACAATTCCCATCATCCCTGATGATGATGTCATGATGACTCAGCTGGAGCTGGAGTCCAAAACTTGTGGAAAGTACAGTGTTTATGACCAGTACTGTAGAAGGACCTGATCCAGCCAATAAAGCTGCACTTCTCTCTCTGCTAGAGTTCAGGGACTTCCCTATGGAACTGCTAGTCCCGAGGCTACACCCCCAGAGTAGGGTTGCCAAGGTAGATTTCAATGTCACCACAAAGCTCTAGCAACAGAGAGCTCATCCACCTTTGCTCTACATTTATATGCAAAGGTCTGGGCTTTCCAGGTCTGTTTCAAGTGGGTTGGTGTTTTTTCCCCCCTCCCCCTTTCCCCACAGAAATCTGTGCTTTACTGCTGAATCAGAGCAAATAGGAATCTTGCTCCAAGTCAGCGGTAAGGATTGGGTTTTCTTGAAGAAATCTTCGGGCAAAAAAGAAAACGATTTAGCACAAACCAGGGAACCAGAAACCTGTGCCCAGAAAGTGTGAGTCAAAAATTAAGTGTGGATGAGGGTTATATGTGGATCTAGGGTTATATGTCTGACCAGACACAAGAAATGCCCACTAGGTTCATAGAAACCATTTACTTCTTAAGACAGCAAGATCTATCAGCTTTAGAGTTCTTCTGTCTATCCTAGAATGAAAGCCGATCACTAAATCTCACTTGGTAGATGTACTCTACAGTAATTAACAAGTCAGCTGGGCAGATTTCTATTTTACAATTAAAATTACTCTGGTTTTAAATGTCTGGCTGATCAGAAGCTGCAGCTGGCTTGTAATGAAAGAAAGCAGGGTTCCTAAAGTAGAAATAATTCTGGTTGGGTGGGACATTATAAGCTTCCAAACACAGATTTTAAAAAGCTGAGAGGTTCTGGTTTTTATTCCAGAGCTCACAAACTCTAGTGAGACACAAGTTCCCCACCACCCAACAAAGACAGCAACTGGAGGTGGCTGGAGGGCTGGGAGATGAACTGGTGCTCAGTTTTTAGCAAAACGAAAAACAAAACAAAAATACTTCTCAGAAGATCTCCAGATCTAACAAGGCAGCCTATCTGGATCATCAGGAAAAGGATTTCCTCGCAATTTTTTGGGTTTCCCGTGGCTTCCTTGCAGAAGTCAACTGCAGCTGCCATTCCCAGATACCCACTTTTGGGGAGGCAAACCCCACTGAACTTAGTGGAAATAAAAATAATAACTGAGGGCTGCACTGTTCAACAGCAAGCAATTCTTTGACTTGCCATGTCTTACTGACTTCTGTACTTTGGGGTTGTGCTGTTGTACGGGATGACTTTGGGCTAGTATAGGGGGGGGAAACTGGCCCAAGCCTCGCTCTCACATTAGTACAGACCCCCACCTCCCAAAGCTGTTGAAGTGCAACAGCCACCATTTTCAGTAGTGAGCCCCCTGAGAGACTTGCTTCCTTGCTCTGTGCCACATGAAACACCAATGCCCCATCTTCCCGCCCAGAGAACAGCTGCCACTGGTTTGTCTGCAAAAATGGGCAAACTGAAGAACAGGTTTTGAGGGGTACCTGCCTGCCCCCTCACTCTAGATCAGGGCTTGGATTTGTCATAGCATCCAGACGAAGAGCAGAGAGTGGCTTCTTCTGCCTCTGCCACCTTACCTCCCTCTCTCTGGGCAACACAATAGGGGAGAGGGAGAGTTAAGGGCAATAAATACATTCAATCAGTTTTTTCCGCTAGTTCAGCCTCCCTGTCTAGGTGCCATAAGGTGCCATATCTGCATTGCTTCAGAGGAAGGATGCAAGTGAGGCAGTGAGAGACTCCTGTTCCCTTTTGCTCACCCCCTTTCTCTCTGGGTGGAGCAGTGGAAAAAATTTGGCTCAGCCCCACCCCTAAACAGAGAGAGAGAGAGATCTGAGAGACAGCCCCAAAGAGCCCTAGCAAGAGGCCTTCCACACCTATGCTTTCCCATTAGGTAGGGTGGACAGGGTTCAGTAGGGCCACCCAGAGAGAGTGGGTGAGCAAGCCAGAAGCAGCTGCTCCCAGCAGGGCAGCCACTGCCCCACCTAAAGTGACGATAAGGCGTTCAAACTGGCAGAGCTGCTCTCTCTTGCTTACTGCCTCTCTCTGGGCAACCTTACTGGGTTAAATCCATGTAAGTAGACTCTTACCTGGTAGAAGAGCCTCCTTAAGGGAATGGGCAGGTGAGGAATCAGAGGTAGCTGCTCCTTGCAATCACCACTTGCTCAATTCTACCACCACCGCCACCCCTGGCAACTTAACTGCTCTTTCTCTTGAGGAACAGTGGCATGATAAGGAGGTCCCACCAGAGACATGTTCCCAAGCCTCCCTGCCCAAACAAGCCTGCTGAGTAGAAAATTATTCTCTTTAGCAGAAGCACTGGGCATGATGACATCCTGGGTCTTATTTAGTACTGGAGAACAGGTGTGGGGGACCTTTGGCCCGCCAGGTGTTGCTGATCTGCAACTCCCATCATCCCTGCCCAGCTGCCACAGCTGCTGGGGCTGTTCACCAATATCTGGAAAGCTAAACGTTCCCCACCCTTGCCCAAGAACAATTATATTCCTTTTAAATGTAACCAGGGGGCCACATATTACTACCACCACCATCCCAGAAAACAGCCAGCTCTAGAATTGCAAGTACCCCTAAACTTTGATCTGACCACCTTAAAAAACCTAATGGTCTTTGGAAAAATCAAGCACCTAGTTTAGGTGGCAAGCCTATTCAGGTCTACTCAGAAGTAAGATCCTCTGAACGCAATGGGGCTTACACCCAGCTAAGCTCGCGCAGGGTTCCAGCCTTCGCCTGAACCCTAAGCACAATTTACCTGGTGACTTCTGCGGGGCTTACTTCTGAGTAGACACAGATGCGATTTCTGGGTTGGCACACCTGGTCCTGGAGGAGGCGGGGCGGGAGAGCTTCAATTTAACACCAAAACCAGGCAGGTGCTCCCTATGCACCGGACGGAAATAAGATCCCACCCACCTGTGTGCGGCGATGGCTCGTTCTCTGCAGGGTCCGCGCGCTGTCTCTCAGCTCCTCGTCCTGAATGGGACGCAGCCGCGGCTGGAGATGCGCCTTTAAACTAGCCCCGCCGCCCAAGCTACCGCTTGAAACCGGTGAGCGGCAGCTCTCCCTGCCCAATCGGAGGCCGGCGCGCTGGAGCCTGCCCCTCTTTCCGTTCCTGGCCAATGAGCGAGGCAAGGCGGGGAAAGGAGGTGAGGGGAGGGCGAGAGGAGTGGTGTGAGAAAATGACGCCGCGTGGCCAGAGGGAGGGCACCCAATGGGCGCGCCGCTGAGGCCCGGACCGGCGAATGAAGTGCGTGACGCGGGTGCCCGGCGGCCAATGGGAGCCCCGCTGCCGACGGCGAGGTGAGGGCAGTCGCTGCTGCAGGTCCTCTGGTGAGAAAGAGGAGACGGTCGCTTAGCAACGGGAGGAAGGCGCGCATCTCAGCGAGGCAGCATCGTGTTACCCGAAGAAGGGAGCGAAGGAGGGCCCTGGTGTCTGCGCTGGATGCAGTACAGCGAGGAGTGGCAGTTAGGCAGGGAGCTGAAAACTATATACGAACTTCATATAGGCTGGAAGGAGGCTCCTGCATATTATATTATGAACTGTTTTATTATGAACTGCATGATATATTATGAACAATATTATATTATGAACTATCAAGGAAAATGGCCCACCAGCTCCAGGTTCTCAGGGAAAGAGTCTGGTGGTTTTTCATACTTTATTTAACAACACACACAGATTACAAATGCTATCCAAATACAATGTTGTATGGTGCTGTCATTGGTTAAATGAGGCTTCTGATATGCCTTTATGGCTTGTAATGCTGCTAATATTGCCTGTTTTGTACAAGTTTCTTTTAATGTTTTTCTTTATGTCTTTTTATTTATAAACCTGTGATCATCATCTGAGGCCCTTCTTCTTGGGGCCCCTTCCGTGAGAAGTCTGGAGGGCGGTAACATGAGAAAAGACTTTTTCTGCAGTGGCTTTCTGCTTGTGGAATGTTCTTCCCCATCTGCCCCACCGCTTTCCCCTGAAAAAGCTGCTCTTTAGGGCTGTTATAAAATATTATGGTACACACACATATCAGACACACACTCCACAGAAAACCAATCCTCCACCCTACAAAATTTATGAACTATTCCCTGAGAAAATTACACATTATTTTAGCACACAGAACAATCCCCCTAAAAGCCATCTTGGCTCTCCTAATTACTCAAAATATTTCCTCTACGGAAGGAGATATCTTGGAGAAACCTTTCCCAGTACCGTAGTTCTTTTCACTTACAAATCCTTGCTTAAGGTCATATTTTGTGTATGAACAGGGTGGGCCTGTGACCTGGATTCAAGAACTAAAGTATTTACCATCTCAAAAGAATGACTACACTGCCCAGGTAATGCAACCAGTAAAGCATCAGATATCCTGGCAGACAGGAGAGAAGCCACACACTCAAATTTATTTGGGAGACCACCTCTGTGATGTATGTATGATGATTTTAGGGTGGTCTTTGGCTAAGGGGTTGGGCAATGTCTAAAGTCTTTAAAGGCTCCTGCACACTTTGTGCTTTTGGTCTCTCTCACTTCCTTGTGGTGGGGGCGGGGCTCTGTTGCAACAGAAAAATAAAAATCAGCCTAGCTTTCACTGGATCCTGCCTCCATCCATTCTTCTTTGACCAGTCATGGACTTAGGGGACTCAGAGTCCCTTGGGGAGTTGAGCAGCAAAAGTCAACCCCCAATTTTTCTACAACAGCGCTAAATAGAGCAGTTGGCAGAAAATCCACTTGACAATTTGCTCCGATTCCACAGTAAAGAGCAGGTTTTCCATTGGGGAAAGCAACAGTACAAACGGAAGTCTGGATGAACAATCAGTGCCAGCAGCAGCAACAACAACAAAAATGCCCTCCATTCACCTAGACTAGATGATCCTTGGTTAGATCAAGTGGGTCTCCTATATATTTTTAACCTAAGTTTCCAACTAGGAAGTAACAATAATTAGCATGTACATAGTGAGGTTTAGAGTGATCAAAATCCTTTGCATACCTGTTCTCAGTAATAGCCCTATAAAGTAGATCAGTGTTACTATCCCCTTATTTAATAGTATTTGCTTGTGTGTCCACCAGAGATGAGTAATAATAAGTGCTTTTTTCCTAGAAAAATAGGTGGGTGTCAGTACCTACCAGGAAGTTGTCACAGTAAGTGCCACACTTTTTAACATCAAAAAAGAGGTGCCAGTACTTTGTCCTATTGAGAACCCCTGAAAAAAAGCACCGGTAAGGAGACCGGGCAAAGAAGTATTTTTAACTGGAAGAAAATTGTTTCAATTTGGATTCATCTACACTTCCTTTTGTGTTGCGTTTCTTGGCACAGGTTAAGGCTTCCCAGGTCCACGTCAAAGTGGGGTCCCCCCAGCACTTTCCCTGAAAAGCTGTATTATCACTGAATCAGAGCAAATGGCAATTGGGTTTTCTGTGGATCGCTGTTTGCTCCAATTCAGCAGAAAAACATGAGTTTTCCCAGGGAAAGCTCCAGGTACGTTTTCTTGTATTTTATTCTGCAAACTGCCCTGAGATCTTTTGATGAAGGGTGGTATATAAATTTAACAAATAAAATAAATAAATACCATATTTTTCCATCTATAAGACTAGATTTTTCCCCTAAAAAATAATGTCCAAAATTTGGGGGTGTCTTATACATGGATAGATCTCCCCCCTATTTTCTTAAATCAGAGTCTCCCAAAATAGGGGGCATCTTATAGATGGAAAAATACAGTAAATAAGTTTTAAGAGTCTTTTGTTGCTGCTGCTGCTTTTCTTAATTCTCTTCTGCTTTTTAAATTCAAACCTCAACTTACTGGAGGCTTTGCGTTATCTGAAAGCAAAAGACCCAACTTCCTAAAGGGGATCTGCAATTTGACCTGGCAGTTCAGCCCTGGCAAACCTTCTCTCACTTACCTTAGCCTATAGAGAAGGTGAAAGTTCCACTTTTATTTAGCAGCTCAGTGCTTGCAAAGTTTGTATGTTGTCATTTGAAAATGTTGTGTTTCTTAATCAATATTCAGTCACACCAATGATGAAAACTGACACTCCAGAACAAGAACAGCAGGATGCAAGGTGGTATTTAAATCTGGTTCCTCATACATGACTTAAACTCGCCTTTCAGTAATCAATCTTGTCAACAAGTAATGTCACATTTTCCTTGACATTGTGAAAATGTGTCCTTTTCTTTCCGCCTCGGTAATGAACATGTTAGTTCATTTTATAGTCTAGTCTACAGATAGCCAACATGGTGCCCTTCAGACATTGCTAGACTATGATCCCCCCCCCCGCCCTTATATTGGCCATGGCTTCTGGGTCTGACAAGATTTGGAATCCAACAACATCTAGCTTAGTCAGTAGAGCATGAGACTCTTAATTAATTAAGTCGTCAATTGAAGTTGTCGACACAGAATGACATAGGCACAGCTTTGTCAATGCCATACATACAGTGCCTGTGTGACATCAAAAAAGCACCAGGAAGCACATTGCAGACACATGTGAATGTGAGACCCCAATATCAGGTAGACAGTGTGTGTGACTGGTTAGGAAAGTAGTCATAACTGCCCCAAACTATGGTGCTCATTCTGGCCCCTGGAATATGTGGCATGAGTGCTGTAGCTTTCAGCCAGAGACTTTTGTTGAGTTCCACAACAAGGCCTATTGGGTTCAAGAGGCTGCCTGCCACCAGATTATCCAATAGTTCTTGGAACAAACAACTCTGACCTGTTTCTGTTACTAGTAGGTAGTTATGCAGGGCATTGCAAGAGTGGGTACCCATATTCATGTTCATTCCTGCCTTCTCAGTAGTGGTGCCTGCCCTGTGGAACCTCCTCCCATCAGATTTCAAAGAGATAAACAACTCCCTGACATTTAGAAGACATCTGAAGGCAGCCCTGTTCAGGGAAGTTTTTAATGTGTGACATTTTAATGTATTTTTAATCTTTGTTGGAGGCCGCCCAGGGTGGCTGGGAGACCCAGCCAGATGGGCAGGGTACAAATAAATTATTATTATTATTATTATTATTATTATTATTATTATTTTTCCAAGATGATAAATGAGCAGTGTCCAGTCAGTGTAGAGGATGACAGTGCTACCATCCATCTACCAATAAATTGGAGATTTAACTGTTCATGTAGGAGAAGAAAACAGCCTTGTGGCACCATAAAGACTAAACCTACTTTAGCGGTCAAGAGATGGGATAGAAGTAGACAAAAGAACTTTCAGACTGGTCCATACAAGAATCCATAACATATGTAAGACGAAGTCAAGTGAATACATATATTGAGACCTTTGCTTACCTCTGTTTTTTCTCAGTTAGTGCCTTTTTATGGATATGTAAGATATTTTAGAAATGGTGGATTTTTTGCCATACACTCATTATTTACCTCTGTCCTCCTCTGTTTGTTTCCTTTCTCTTTTTATGTTGTAGCATGCTGTATTCATTAACTTATTTATTTTATGGCGTTCATACCTTGCCTTTCTATGAGTTATATCACTGGAGTGGGGCACATCCAAAAACCAGTCATCAATACCTTCCCTGTCGCGTTTGGTGCAGGGTTGAGATGGCAGTGGTCTAGCGCCAAGTCCAATAAAGTTCCAGCCTGTCCCGAATCTGGCTGCTCTTAGCGGTACTTTCTTCCTCTTTGCCGTAGCTTCCTCTCAGTGTGCGATGGTCCCTCAGCACACCTTGCTCCTGCTGTCTCTGCTGTACCTTTGCCCAGAAAATATCATTCTACCCTCTGCGCTCCAACATCACCCTCTTGGTCTTCACAATACTCCTCCTCCTCCTCCTCCTCCTCCTCCTCACCCCTGCCTTGGGTAGTTGTGCCAACGCTTGCAGCTTGACTCTTCTCTCCTTAATTAGGGCTGGTTCCAATCTGAGTCAGCTACAGGTGCAGGGATCATATGCTCTGTGCTCCCAGCCCCATCTTAGCCTGGTGAGGCACAGCTGTGAGCGTAGCTGTCATTCCCTCCAGGTTCATGATAATGTGCACTCCTGGGCAAACAATGTTGTTCTTCTCTCCTTGCCCACCTATGGGCTCAAGGTGACGATGGCAGTGGGAAGCGGGGCGCTTGGGCTCCCTTCTTGCTTTGAGCAGGCCCCACTGGCAATTCTTCCACTTATTCCATGCTCACTCCCCTGAGAGCCAGCATGGTGTAGTGGTTAAGAGCAGTGGACTCATAATCTGGTGAACCGGGTTCACTTCCCTGCTCCTCCACATGCAGCTGCTGGGTGACCTTGGGCTAGTCACACTTCTCTGAAGTCTCTCAGCTTCACTCACCTCACAGAGTGTTTGTTGTGTAGGAGGAAGGGAAAAGGAGATTGTTAGCCGCTTTGAGACTCCTTAGGGTAGTGATAAAGCGGGATATCAAATCCAAACTCTTCTTCTTCTCTTCCGGGTCATCCTGACAACTCAGCGTAGGACGCTCTTCACCCTCGCTGTCACTTTCCCCTGAGTGAGCGACTTCTGGGGGATCCTTGCCCTCAC